GGCATAAAATTCTGATAGCTCTTTTTTGCATACGAAAAATTTGTATGGAATCAATGGAGTTTCCCCACAGTATAGCAACATCTGATAAAATTGAATGAAAAAGAGCATAGTAACTTGAGACTAGATAATCCTTTCCAAGACAGCCTATCATCCAGAACCACACCCAACAAATTCGCAGATCTTCTTTGCGAAAAATTTACAGTTGTTGAAAACATTAACTAGTGCGTTTTATCCGTATCCAATTTGCTCTAAAGCTTTGGAAATAATAGCAACCAGACTAATCTCGTGAAAATTAACACATCAACAGCATAATTACTACTATATAGTGGAAACCAGATATAGACGTTTATCATATCTGATGTTTTATATATTAGATTTGCTTATTTAAGTTTAACATTTTCTTTCAGAGGGATTATTCGTAAATTGAAAAGAGGAAGCAGGCAGTTTTCTTTACTAAATATATTTAAAGCTACATGTTTCGGTTAAACACCCATCCTCACTCGCCAAGTTTGTCGTCTCATATTATAATGGTTACACACAAAGGCGGGGGAAAGTTTGGGCTCAAATTCCGTGTAATTCGGAATTTCGACTCATACCCAAAGTACTTTCTTTAATACTTTCCGAATTTCAAAGCAATTTCAATTTTAAATTAATTGAGTTCGACGCGGAAAACTATTTCAAGGGAATGCAATTAGGAAATGCCGTAGGCAGGTCGAAAACTGTTTCATAAATATCCCGATTTATGTCTTAAGGGCTACGTTGCGTCGTTCTTCGGGGTTTAACGGTTGCAGCTGCTTAAGGGGGTCGTTTTTTCGCCGTTAGTACAATGTAATTCACCTAGGAAAAAAATAATTTGGGTATCGGTTGTTTGTATCGTAGATTTATATTTTAAATGGAAAAATTTCAATTGCGTTTTTAAAGTGCCACTCTATTTTTACGCGTTTGCCGAATCAATTTGTTTACCCTGCTGTGCATGTTTGCCGACGGCTCTATTTATTTAGCAACTATTCCAAATGGGTTGTCTACCTGCATACGTTTATCATTATTCCACCCCTAACGTTTCAAGTTGCTACGTAATTTTATTATAAAAATTTTTTCACTTCAAAAAATCCTAGAATTTACTCATTCTTTTAAACATTTCGCTCTTCATCATTAAATAGAGAAAAATTTGCACTATTTCACCAGTTTATATGAAGGTATGTTGCGGTTATAACTTGAAAACGCCTTATCTTTCTAATATCGTAAGAAACAATCCAGAAAGAGGTTATCCTTAAAAATGCATTGACCGTGGGTTGGGCCATTAAATCGTGTCGTTTCAGCCTATTTAAGGATGATATGATGAACCATATAAACTGTTCTAAATCTGATTCAATGATGGATAAAACCTAATATCTTTATTACCCTACATTATTGCATTTGTTGTATAAATGAGATATTCTTCGCCTTGTAATTGTGATTTTGTGAAACTTTTTAACGTTCAGTGACTTTTTATTCAAATTGCTCAAACAATAAAACATTCCAAGATGTCGTTGAAGAAGACTAGCATCATTCAAGCAAAACATATTGTATTTGTACTTTGTACGTGAATAAATAAATCTCTATTATCATCTCTAAAAAATAAAACAAAAATTTTAAGCCACTCAAATGTACATAATATGACGAATTTGCTGCGTTTGACTATCGCAAGCCTAATGTAAACGTGAATTTATGCAGTGGTTATTAAAAGTTAAGTGAAATTTAATACTCTAACTTCTTAGTTAGCTTGCGCATAAATATAGGGAACCAGCTTCTAATTGCGCACCTAAATGACACACGGTCGTATAATGAATCCGATTTGCAATTTAGTGGATATTAGATTTTCTTGAGGCATATCGCACAATTTAAAGTTTGTTTATGCACGCGTTTTGACGTCTATCGATTTACGCGATACTAATTTGATGTAAAGATTAGAAATACATGTCGCTACCACGGTAGACACTTTATATACAACGATCCTGCATTAATAATGTCCGGCGTTTTATTTGAAAATGCGATAGCGAAGCCTCTATAGGAGCAAAGTATTATTAAATTTCATAAAACGGAAATTAATTTACATCTCGTTAAATCGATTCGCCGTAATCTACAACGAAAATGAAAACAAAAAACGTTAAAACCGTTAACCAGTTTTGAAACTTTAATCAAAAGTTAACAATATCAATTTAATTAGATTATACTTGATATACAGTGTTGAACTATGGCTTTGAACATTTTGCAACGTACCAGTAACCAAATAGAAAATATTGTTAAAAATTTTTGTTGAGGATTTTGTATTAGACTAATAGCTCATCTGATCCAGTGCATCGGATCTTGTTTTCGCCTTCGGATTCGTCGAACAATACCTTTTATTTTGTTCGTTAGTTCCAGCGCATTCGTTCTTTTTAACTTTCCCGAAAGTGCACAAGTTAAAGTTCTGGAGTTCCGCGCGATTTGTAAAAACGAGTCCATAATTAATGTTTTAACTAACTTTGCTGAAATTTTAACCGAGACAAAGCAATTTATCCCGGCATTTTACAAATAAACCGAAATTCTATTTTCGCGAAAGAAAAAAAAGAGATTTATAAATCACATCAGTTTTTTAACGTAAAATTAGTTATTTACACTTTTTGGAGTATTTTGACTTTAACATTTATCCGTTAACGTTTTGTTTACATTATTTGGAACGCCGGTTAAAAATATGTTCATATGAAACATCGAGAAATTCAAACTGCCCTATCGCATCTATTTTTAATTGCTTTTTATTTATTTATTTTTTGTTCCGGAAAAATAAAAAATATGATCAATGGAAAAAGCTATTTATAAAAAACTGATCTTTTTGACTTTTATGGGGCGTTCGCACAGTGCATCGTTATGTGAACTGTAAAACGTTTCCTTTCAAAAATGGTCTACGCATTTTTTGAAAAACGTTAACGTAATAAATTTTCTAAAATAAATGATGAGTCGAAGCTTCTAATTGAATTAAGAGCTTCTTAAATATTATCTTCAACAGTGATTTGCAGGCTATGTATTGGCTAATTCTCCTGGACTTTAGTGGATTGTAGATAGGTGTTGGTGATATCCAGTCTTATCACAAGGGTCCAAGGGTGAAAAGGTAAAATTAGAAACTTCTCCTGCTTCTCGTGGCAGGATAGTATACATCTATTTTATTTAACTTTTATTTCAATATTACAATTAAACAAGATAAAAACAAAACATACGTGAAAGTATGTCGTTGATAAATCGTAATCATAATACTCCGGCCAGCCCGACTTGTTCCATTTTATGTCATTGTGTTAGTTAGCGAACACCCCGTATACTCAATGGAGGCAAACAGATGACTGACAGACCCGTACAAACGTCTGAAAATCTGTTTAACGCCGTGCCAAAGAATATACAGTCATTTGCTCTCATTTGTAAGCAACATTGGGCGTTAATGAAATATGATACAGGTGACGCCAAAATAAATTGGTTTACCATATAATACCCCGCCATTCTCCTCTGCAGAACTGACTAACGATCGATTTAATTAACTAAATTACTAGCGCCGATGCGAGGCGCGGGCAAAACTACAGCTTTTAATAAAATGTCTAACAAGACTGCATCTACGAAGGCACGCGTCTAATAGATCTAGCTTGTTACCATGCGGTGGTTTTTTCAAACGTTGTTCTTTATATCCACCTAGAAAAATCACCTTCGACTATAATGTATTCTGATATTCCACTTTCTCTGTTTCTCTCTGAGTCCAATAAATATATCAAAAACTAGACAACGGAGGTGTGAACTTGTTTCGTTCAGCAGCAAAGTTTCTGGTTGGACACACCAGAGACTCTCAATAGATCAATTTGTCCATTGGCTGATATTTTCTACTCACGTTGTTCTTTAGCGACCTAGATTCAATTTGACCAACCTTCCTAACCATTGAATATATGATTAAAAATATATGCTACTTTCCTAACGGATATTCTTCTAAGGGTTGATAATCCGTTCTGGTACTATAGGGTGGTTGGCAATGTGTAGTATATAGCAATGAGCGTTGCTGTAAATCTTTTTACCATAATAAAAAAAATAATCATAATAATTTTAATAGTACAATATTATCTTTATAATTAAAACTACCGATACAACTACTACTGGAAGCATTAAAATGCTTGTGAAAGGAATTACTATTCATTTAAGTTTTATTAAATGCGCTTAATCACAATATAAGACTAATTTTCACATAATTATTTGAAGTAATTCATATTCCCATTCATTTCAAATGTGTCGATCGGTTGTAATTATCCATTGTTTTGTTAAGTAATTAAATTCTTCTCTTCTGCTTCTTTTATATATGTTGGCAGAATAGTTGTATAGTCTAATTGGTTGGATATAGGTTTGTTTGGCGAAATATTATTTTAATAACCATTTTTTAATTGTTGGCGGCCTCTTGTAATACTTAAATATATACAGGACCTTTCAGACATAACAGTATAGTCATTAACTTAAGTTACCCAAATTATGCAGATGGTCTTTTTTTTTTTCAAAAAAAACTTCCACAGGCTACTGTAATACTTTTTATAAAGCTTCTGGATTCCTCCTGCGTCGTTTTTTGTTGAGTCGAACTAGCTAACATTTCTCCAATCATTCTGTTGGCTTTTTTAGAGCTTGACTGAAACTGGCTCGTATTTTACTTTGTACCTGCTTTTATATTATTTGAGGGGGGCGGAGCTAAATGAGGTTAGTTTGTTTATAGATTTCTATAGACTCTCGGATTTAACTTATCCTTTATTTAAGACTAATTTTGATTGTTCCTTGTAGCAGATAAACGATTACCTATCTATTGTGTTGGTACAAGTTTTGGAGAGGTACGATATCCTCTTCAATCAACAGTTTAAATCATTCCCAAGAATTCCTCTAGAATTCCGTTGCTGAAGATGATTCTTTAACCGCACCATGCGCTTCGCAATAATGCATTTTTGATTAATATATCGTAATGTCTGTTTCAGGTTGTAATGTATACTAGGCCCAAGGGCGCCACATGATGAGTAGTCAGGATGAAACAGCCAGCCTATTAGTAGGCCAGCCGTCTTTGACGGGTGCATCGTCCCCAGCCAACTGTTCCAAACCCGTATTAATGCGGCAAGAATGCACGACGTTTCTAGTTTCATCGCAACATCCTCATCTCTCGGTATTTTCCGACAGCGAGGAGGACGGTTCATTGTGTTTGGAGGAGAACAGCACTAGGTCGGTGCCGGATATTGAACTGCATTGCAGGTGAGACCGAGAGTGGCAATAAGATCGATGTCACTAATTATAAGGGGCATTAGCATACGTGCACGAAAGCTATGGGCCTTGAGGATTGGCGTTAATAAATTAAAAGCGATATTTTTTCTGGTGTTCCACAGAGATCTCACGCTGAACCCTTTCTCTTTAACATGTTCATAAATCACATTGTTTTTGTAATTGTAATATTTTTGATGATTGGTTACTTACCGATGCTGGCGGTGTATGCTATAGTCTCATGGTAGGGAACTGGACGTTAAAAATGCTTCTATATATCTGCTATTTTAAGTTCAGTGTGCTATAGCGACAGATATTATTTATTGATATGTATAGATAACAATTTTGTAATAAATTTTGTTGTAAATGATGCACCAGACGACTGTTTTAGTGCTAATACCCGAGATAAGGATTCATTTAATCGAGAGCGTTGCATATCTGGCTTATATTGTTTACGCAACTTCGGAATAGTTTAAATTCCATAAAGTGCAAATGCAAAATTGTTTCCCTGTATAAATCTTTCCGAATATCTAGTCTCATTTTAGGTTTAATGGGAACAGACGCACTTTAGTACATCGTCTTCTCGTCTCTTTGTCTGTGGGCTTCCGAGTATTATTTTTTAACTTCGTAAGATATGCAAATTATCCCGTCTTAAAGATGGTGGCTTGAGGGCAAGTAACCCAGACGGTAACGGAACATCTTCTTTACCGGAAGCTTCTCAGTTTCGTATTCGAATGAAAAATCACTTTTTAATAAAACGGCGTTACTTTTCGGCGCTTTCTTTTAAATATACGTGAATATTCGTTATTATGTATAACACCAAAGCTAACGAAATATTTTTGCCAGAAATGTGCCAGTTTTTACAAACGGCAACTACGACAATTAAATTGTTATAATTTATCTTTTGCAATACATATATATATATATATATATATATATATATATATATATATATATATATATATATATATATATATATATATATATATATATATATATATATATATATATATATATATATATATATATATATATATATATATATATATATATATATATATATATTCTCACGTATTGATTCACGGATGGAAAAATGTGATGACACTACATTCCGGGATATCATCCGTTCGCTCGTTGAACTCCGACTGGAATCCTGCATCCGACTGGAATCCTGCAAATCTTGCATCCGACTGGAATCCTGCAGACGTTTCGCCAAAATCTCACTTGGCATCTTCAATGCTCGCGCCCCGAAAACACTTCGAACACCCAGTGTTCGAAGTGTTTTCGGAGCGCGAGCATTGAAGATGCCAAGTGAGATTTTGGCGAAACGTCTGCAGGATTCCAGTCGGATGCAAGATTTGCAGGATTCCAGTCGGATGCAGGATTCCAGTCGGAGTTCAACGAGCGAACGGATGATATCCCGGAATATAGTGTCATCATATATATATATATATATATATATATATATATATATATATATATATATATATATATATATATATATATATATATATATATATATATATATATATATATATATATATATATATATATCAATAAACCTTACCCTAACAAACGATTTGTAATGTTAACTCTGCAATTTTAAAATCTGAAAAAAGAACATTTCTTTAGAGTTGAGTGGAAAAGAGAAGCTGTACGGTTTTTTAAATTTTATATTTAACCCTTTTAATTGTGATTCTATAGAACAGTCGGATTAATTCTTTTATTATATAGAGACTGCATTACCGGCGACAATAATTTCAGCGAACAACTACCGAAATTCCGCATTGAGCTTCGACACAATGCAAAATTTGGATGCACAATATGAAACTTAAACTATGCCAGGATTCCTAAACAATAGAAATAGAATATGCAACGACGTCACTTATAGCGATCCCCGTCAGCACATATTTTGTGTAAAATGAAACCGGGAATCTCCGGTCCTACCACGCATTTGTGTTATCTCTGTTAGAACCTCCACCATTATAGTTGAAAATCTGCACAAATGCAGATCGTGTTTACTTAAAAACTGAATTTGGCACACCGAGTTTGCTTAAAATTAAAATTAAATGGACCAGTACGTAAACAACGATTAGATTATTGGAAAGGTGTTTATTTTACTTTTCATCTTTTTTGCATATATCGCAAGGTCGGAAAATGAACTATCCGCGCGAATTAACGATAATAGAAGACCGAAAATGTGACCTTATAAGATGAAGGCATTTGGAAGGCTTTAAACTGAGGAACATTTCATTGTGCGCTGTCGTGGAAAATGTTAAGAGACCTCCAAGCTTCATTATTTAAATTATTCTCTCCCGTGCGATTTTGTAGCAAAATTCGATGAAGACCTTTTGGCGAACGGAAGGGGGCATTGTGGGTAGAAATATTAATTGTCTAGTTTAATCGGGTGGAATGTTAAGCTGTCTACTCGATCCGCTGGCAACACAATAGTCAGGTTAACCGTGATATTTTAAAATTGTGTGACGAAAACTTGAAAACAAATTTTACCATATAAACTTTTTTTTTATTCAGTGGGTGAAAAAGTTCAAGCTACGAGATATAACCAATTAAATTTGCAAATGGTCTTTTTTTCCTCAAAATGAGTGGATCATATCAAGTTGTCAAAGAATGCGTGGAGACTGGTTTGCATATTTCCTGTTTTGTGGAATGTCTTGCAAACAATTATGAATATACGGATTAGAGATGTCTTGGATAATTATCAACCCTTATCTTATTATCAAAATGTTGCAGTTGTTCGACTGCACTGTTGCAAGTGACAGATATAGTGGAAAAACGATGGCTTTAGTTTTGACAAGATGAATTATGAAATTTTATTTTCCACTCTTAACTAATTCAGAGATTTGGAGGGTGTGACACTTTTACTGAAAAATGATCTATGTCAGCCGTTTCAATTTGTGCAAACGGATAAAGGGGCATCCACATACGAAATTGTTTTAAATGGACTTATTCAGGGTTTCATCTTGGGGCTGACTTTGACCTGACGGAACTCAATTATATTATAATTTTTAGACCTTGTATAGGTAGTCGATTTCCGCGAGAATCATCAACTGAAAATAAATTCAGAAAAGTAATGCATTATACTTTTTGCCAATAAAATAAAATTAAAACTTTAAACTTCAAATAAAAATTGAAAGTTTAAAATGTATCAACGATGCTCTTAATGTGGGATATTTCATCTCCATGTTACAAAAGAGAAAATTGAATGATATTTCTTTTTATAATGAAACTAAAGAAGCTAAACCTAAAGCAGTTTAAATTAAAATACAAAAATTATTTAATGGGCACATCCTATAAACAACAATGACCTGCTTTTTTTGTTTTTCACTTCAAAAATGTTACTCCGTTGTTCCTTAGGTTCAGACCTACGCATATTAATTTTCAACTGTATTTTAAAAAATCGCTCATGATTTACACTTCAATTACCAGAAGGGTCAGAACGATTATCATAATGTTTTCTGGCCCCTTTTGCAAAATGTAATTTTTGCTATATTCATTCTAATGTTATATATACATATAAGGCGCAATGTGGAACTGTTTACTCTGCGCCAAAAAAGCAATACTTTCTAAGAGCTGATGTTTTAAATGAATTCGAGCCCCGCATATGTGAACAACGTCCAATTGCGATCGAGGATTTTCGCTAGCGGGAAATCAATTAGCGAAACGTGTGATTGATGCCTTTTTTCTAATTGAAAACCCGTGTTTTCCCATTGCTTCGAAGAAAGCGATGTGAAAATTAACGTTCAAGTGCGCGAAACGGCCGTCGGGCTTCATTTTTCAATTAAACAACGCGAGAAAGTTGCAGAAAATGTGACCGAAAGAAAAACAAAAAAGAATGCGGCGCATCGTGGTGAATTTTTACGTTAACATTCGTACGCTGAGCGACGATAACTCCTTTCATATTCAAGCACATGGTGCTAGCTAAAATATCACATCATTAAGCCCCGTACTGCATACTGTTTAAATCACCGAAGAATTGCCGCCTGTTTATTCTGACCACGTAACAATTTGTTGAACCCTCAACGGGGGGATGCAAACAAAACCACTTATATATTCTAGTTAGCTGCCTTTTCATTTCGTGAGGGCGCAAGCATTCCGGCCGACCTATTTTGTAGCTGCATTATTAGACTTTCGATTTTTTTTAAGTGAAAATGTCTTTATTTTATGTGTACTGAACCGTCACGCTGGTTAGGAAAAAGTTAGAGAAAGGAAAATTCATCCCTTGTTGAAATTTTAACTTTTATCTTCTGGTCTCAGACACACCCTGTAATTAATTAATAAAGTCTTTTTACACTAGGCCAATAGTATCCCCATCTGTGGTTGGTGCTTTTCGTGAGAGAGAGCTGTAATAGCTTATAAGGAACATTTTTTAAAAGCTAATTTTAAAACCAGCTCTCAAAAAGTTCTGCACTTGTATCCTTATGATAGTCCAAGCTAAAATGCTTGATATTCTTCACAGTACGGCAAAATAGGTTATTCAAATAATAGTAAGCATTATAAGTATATTGTTTTTTGTGCCAAAAGAACTCACCGAATTTTTCCCGTAAAAAGGAAAACCAAATTCAAACCTTCTATTGTTATCTTCTATAACATTCCGCAATTTTAGTTCATCTTGGGGAATGGAGGGGGGTGCAAATATCACGAAGGAGAGTGCGAAAAACACTGAAATAAGGGAATCTCTGCCAATATGTGAAGCACATTAGGTAGAAATCTTTTATGTTATTTTGTTTATTCAACCAAAATCGGAAAAGTTTTTGCGCTAAAAATACCAAAGGAAAACTTAGTGTTTCGCCCGAATGTAACGTGGGATTTTTTTTTAATTAACGAATTATGAAAATCTTATTCGGCCCTTATAACTTTAAATGTAACATATAAAATATAAGTGAATTAACTCATTTTCGAAAAGAAATTAAATAAGTTATTGACATTTATTTATCACAACGTTTATAAAAGCAATGCCACATTTCAATTGTTGAAGGTTATGGTATACTTATCGGCATTTAGCAAAATTATAATCAGTTGGATCCAGCATTTATTGGCTAGCTATTTAATAAAAAATTAACAACTCTATTGTAATCACATTGTAGTAAATTATTTAGTTCTTATTTATTAATTGGGTTTCGTGCGAAGTGTTATTTCCGCACGTGGGCTTTTAAAAGATTTACCCTTTAAGTAGAATTCGGTTCTGGTCTTTCGGAATCATTGTTCTGTAATACGAGTTCCGACTGCAAATAGGATCTCACGCTTTATTTTAAGCTCGAGCTAGCAGCAAAACACAACAAAAAACAGACGAATGCGAAGGAGTATATACAATTGTAACTTAACAGTCGATCCGATATTCTCTCTCTATTTGCGATTTAAATTGTTTCGTTATTTCATTCATGTGTTCCCCGGTACGCAAAAATTATTAAATGTTGAAATATTTAATTTCATGATGATGGATTCAATGGGGAGCGATAGAAAACTGTATTATGGACTTGCTATACAGAGTGTCCGGGAAACGGTGCCAAATCTGGGTTCCCATCTCTACGGAGATATGAGTCTCAAAAAGACTCCGCTGAAATTTTTTTTCTCGTTAACAACTTCTAACATGATAAAAAAAAAGTAATGAAAGGTATGAACTAACTTGTACACATCATTTTTTATTACTCTCGTTTAATATCGACAAAAAGAACAATTTTATTTTAATTTTATAATTATTTAAGCTTTTTTTTTTAACTGTCTCAATAAATCAGATTTACCTGAACACATAAATGATTTAATTGTTGCCAGCTTGAATAGGCTTTTTTTAAATAATAAAATATCAAGTTTTAATGTATTGTATTTCGTGCTCTATCTAAATCCCACAGAGTTCCCACATTTTCCCGGACACCCGGTACACTAGCTCTTTAGTGATATCGGAAACAAGAAACAATTTTTATTTCACATGTTATTTTCTCCCCATTTTAAGAGAAATCGTTCAAATTAAAATTACCATATATATATAAAAATATTTTGCGCCATAAATAAATAGTGTAATTAAATAGAATTGCGTTCAATTGTTGTGATTAGTTCGTCGTAACATTTGCAGTGCCCATTTAGCGTCCGCCGTGCTGTTGGCCAAATAGATACGCCGTATATTTTTTATTATTATGATAAATTAAAACTTTTATGGAAAATTCTGATTTGCGTATCGTGTTATTTCAAAACGGCATTATTTATTTATGTTGATATTAAAGCGGTTTTGTAGTGGTTCGCATAAACAGAATTTATGGACTTTCAATAAACAAAATTAATCTTTATTACATTTAGTTTAAATCCATTGGAATATTTGGCAGCTAATTCACTTATCTCCAATACTTTCAAGCTAGTACTACGAACATTTTTTAATATACATTGGCTAGCTTACTATATTGTGTTTGCTTTATTTGTCAAAATCAAAGGATAACACACGTATTTTTCCAACTTGCCGGAAAAAAACATCGTTGTAGAATCCCATATTTAAAAAGATTTATCCCAAGGTTATTGATTCTGCATTCGTTCGCGTGAGATGATGATTGTTCTGGAAGATTTGCCATGAGAATAATTAACAGAGGTCTTCTAGAAGATTCCATAAGGTTTTGCATGCCCGCAAATTATACTTTGTTGCATATAATAAGTTCCTGTCCACTTTTGATATAACATATACGAGGGCAGCGCCAAAATTTCCCGGCATGAATAGGAAAGAAACAAAGTAGAGTAACAATTTTTTATTATTTTACAATATCATCCCCCTTAACTTCAACACACTTATTACATCTCCTTATTAACAACTCAAACCCTTTAAAAAATATTCTTTTTGTTTGTCTGCAAAATGAGCTAAAACAGCCTCGTTTAACTCAACTTCGTCGTTAAACCGCCGTCCACGTACGTCCGTTTTCAAATATCCAAACAAATAATAGTCGCTAGGGGCCATATCTGGACTATAGGGAAGATGATCTATCCATTGGAACCCACACTCTAAATGGGTCTATATTCTTGAATTATTAGAGAAAATAAATAAAACAGGCTGATCACGTATTAAACAGTCAACCGTCGTCAGGCCAGAAGTGTAATATAATATAATAATAATATTATGGAAAATAATTTCCCAAATACAGTATCAAGAGTATGTCTATCAGGAATTTTATTGTTTGTCATGTAGCACCGATAAACAAATGACTATGTCCTCACGTGGGAAAGAGATTAAATTGTTATTAGGTATATGAATGTTTTAATTTCTTAGTTATTGTCTTATTGTTTTAGAAAATGTTCGAAAATTAGCTTATAATTTTTTTAGAAGTAGCATTCTTACGTCTCTACGACTGTGTTGTAACTACATAACTACTTAGGGGGGTAATTAACTGCTAAGTGTTTTACACAGCGGGCATAATTCGATTAAATGACACTTATTACTTCTTTTGCTTCCCCATTATCTAAAAGAAAAAAAAAACGGAATCCTTTGGATTCTGTGCCTAAGGAAGCAAGAGAAAACAGCAACAAATTCATATGGAATACCTATAACATTTAAAATATAATATCGTTTCTATAAGCGTTTTATATTTTAATGCAATAAATGCTGTAGCCTCGCACAAGTCTATTTGCGATTCAAAACAATATTTATCGCGAATTATCTTCTAATACATAATACAGAATTGTGAGCGTGATGAATTTGTGCGTGTGTGGGGAGTTATCTGTCCGGTTTAGTAGCGATGTTGGATATCGCTCCCTGTATAAAATAAAATATGAGTAAATGTATATCGACAAAAAATTATTGTATTGTAAATTATAGACCAATGTTAGGCATTTTGAAGTAACATGTCTTAATATTAGATTTAGAAAATATCAACAGACTTATGCAAGACTACCAATTATTTGACAAAAATGTCTATCTGGTGAGCTCAGATCTAAACTGCATCGAAGCTTATTTGTCTTGCAGAGAAGGTTAAGAAGTCGCTAATCATTTTTGAAAAGAAAATTCCACAGGCTTTTTACAAACCTTCTGGATTCCTTTTGCGTCGGTATTTGCTGAGTCGAATTTGCTGACGTTTCGCCAATCATCCAAGCCAATCATCGCAGCAGGTACAGAGTAAAATGCGAACCAGTTTCAATCAAGCTCTGAAGAAGCCAACAGGATGATTGGCGAAATGTTAGCAAGTTCGACTCAGCAAAAATCGATCCAGGAAGAATCCAGAAGTTTTGTAAAAAAAAAGTTGTTAATCATCAAAAATGTCCGTCTGGAGACCTGGTGCGAATGATTACGATATTTATGTCAATATGTCTCTTTTGACCGGCTTTCTTTTATTACGGGTCTCCTTTTCAGATTGGACGTAAAAGGATGCAAACAAAATCTATCGTCTCACCCAACGCGAAATCGGAGTGCATCGAACGCATTCCAATTGGCGCCTTATTCTTCGACATCGACATCAGCTACAGGGACGAGGGGTGTTTTGGAACAGCGACGTACCTCTCAGACACCGGCCTCGAATTTAAAGATAGTGAGGTCGGTATCGAGAGAAAGTGTGCGTTCGGTCCATCATTGTACCTGTCCTTGTCTGAACGCTCCGGTAAGATAAGCTTTTTGCCCGTTGTTGCAATTGGTTAAATTAGTTTCCAAACTTCCTTAATATCGATGGGGTAAACAGATAAATAAACGAACGAATCGATAGTCGGTGGTGCAATCACATTGCGGCGATATTCCTTTTTTCTTTTTTTGGAAAAATGATTTACGCTGATGCTCTTGCGCTTCAGTTCTCATTACAATAGATTCATATCTGCAGGTATATACTGGACACTTTTGATATAAGAAACTACCAATTTCTAGAGAAGCTTTAAAAAAACTAATCCAAATGTAACGAACTTATCCTTAGTTGAATGTAAAAAGTGGTTTATATTTTTTTATTTGTATAAAAACATTTTTAAGGAACTTTTTTTAGAAGATGGCTTAGACACAAATTTGTATAGTATTTTTTCTTATTTAAGGCCTCTTTATGTTACAGTACATAATCCATATTCGTAAATTTCTGTAATATTTGCTACTAGCTTTAAAAACTTATATAAATTTCAGTTCTCTTTTTTTAAAACCGAATTTTTTAAATTTTGAATTGGCCAAAAAATAAATTAAAAAAAAATGAAGTACAATTTATCTTGATAACATTTTAATTGGCTGTAACGTTTTTGTTTTTAGAGATATCAATGTAAATAAAAAAACAAAATGTAGGATAGGAGATTTTTTCCAAGTGACGTATTAAACAAAACGCTATCAATTTCCTGACATATAAACCTACAAAATAATTATTTAAAAGGAACACCCTGTATATTATATACGTGTTTAACATACTTTATATTTTAGTCCACTCCTTTTTGACAAATAGGCAAAAATAGGAAATATTTATATAATCTCAAAGAGAACCGTGACTGACTGCAACAACAATAATAATTTACAAATTAAAGTAGAACAAAAACAATAAAATTGACAAAGTAAAAAATTCTAAATACTGCTGTATCTGACCACCATTTTCCTGAACACATTTCTCATACACTCTAATTGTATGATGTCGTGCACTTAGTAACAATTCCGGATTGTCTCTTAACCAATTGATGGACTCTGAAATCCTTTGCTGAAGTTCCATTACAAGTTATTATAAGTAGTTCTGTGAACGTAATTTTTTAAGTGTCCCAAAAAGAAAAAATCCATTAAATTTATGTCGGGACTGTTGGCTGGTCAATCCATAATTACGCCTATCCAACCCCTACGATTTTCCATATTAAGACAATTTTTAACATGCACAACATTGTCAGCGATGATATATTTAGGGGCAGTCTTTTACATATTGTTCTATTTGATGCTCTAAGAGTTGCAAATAATTCTCCAGTTAACTTTTGATCCAGAAATATCGGACCCAAAATATGCCCATCTATGACACCACACCATACATTCATTGATTGGTACCGCTGGGTTTTTATTTCGTGTATTTGTCTAATATCGCGTATTTTGTCTATTACAGCCCTTTCTTGTAGTGAACGAACTTTTATCAGTCCATAAAATGTTTTTCAAAAAATTGTTATCCTCATTATGTCCATTTACAAAATCCAAACGAAACTGCATCCTCCTTTGACATTGTTCTGTACTTAGTTTTGGAGTTTTACGAAATTTAAATGCATTATACTTATATTCTTTCAAAACTAAGTGGATTGATCCCCAAGACATACCTGTCTCTTTATATAATCTAGTACATTTAAAAAATTATGAAACTTGGCTACTTACCCTACATTTTGTTATTTTGTTTACCTTGATATCTCTAAAACCAATAAATTTACAGTCAATTAACATGTTATCAAGATAAATTGAACGCACGGTATATATATTATCTGCAAAGCCATTTTATTTCCAAACAAGTGTGTGACAGCAAAATCGTAACTTCTCAAACTCGTGCAACAATTCAAAAGCTACCATTACATTCTTCCTTGATGACTTTTTACCTAAATAAATAAGTTACGCGTTTTGGTTGAAAATATTCAAGCAAGCTACTTGTGCGCGATTTTCGTCAATTCATTTGAAGTAAACATTTTTTTTTCCTTCTAGAAATTGGTTATATCTAAACAAAAGTGTGAAATAGTATGCTATAATAATAATAAGAATAATACGAACAAAAACTCCACTGGTTCTGTTTTTATCAATATACTACACTCTCGAAAGTGATTGTATAATTACTCCATTTTGAGTTGGCATTACTGAACTGACACAAAAATTTGAACCGAAATATTAAAATTAGAACAAGTTCTATTTCGTGAATAAATTTATGGAGAACTAAATTTGTTTGACGCGTATTTCATATAAGATTTGTCAGTGTAAAAGAGAAGAGGAAGAAAATATAAAATTGGTATTTTACCATTAGATACGGAGAGATACCTGCTAAATATTTTACCCGTTTCACTGGTAAAAATATTGGTGAATTATTCAAAATTTGTTTCTCGTATTTTGAGTCCAACTTTTATGCACATAACATTATACCCGCGTCTAAGGCGAAGAGTCTTTGTTTTCAAGGAAAATACGAATTATTGTTGGCTAACTTTCGAGATAAACTGAAAACTCGATATCCAGTAGGAACTTTTCGACGAATTCGAGTTCGTATTATAATTTTTCGCGTATCCGATGAAATCAAATTCGGATCATGCAACTGTAAACTGCAGATTTCAAAAGTAGAACAACGATATCTTTATACGGCATTAAACCGACGTATTTCGTTTATTTATTGTGCAATATTTTGCGCTGAGAAAATACAATATTTGCATTTGAGATTTATCCTCTTATTTTCCTCGTCGCATCGATTGATCATTGCCGCATTATAAATCATGGCGATAGATTTCTCGACTCGAATCATCTAGCTTTTGCCGTTTTTTACTTAAGGGCAGTCTTCGACTCTAGAAAAAAATTTGTCTGTCACTGTCCCTCATATATTTCGCGTACTTGCGAAGTCATCTTTTTATTAATCTTCTATATTGGTTGTTATATGCGAATATTGTTTTTTTCCGTCCCGTATTTTGCGTTGTTAAATCTTCTGTCTTGCTCTAAATGTATAGGTTTCCGATTAAGTTAGTGTGCTGCAGTGCTCACGTATTGTTTATATGTAGTTCTTCCTTAATGCATGCACGCCTGCCAAAATTACGTTAAAAAAACTATTTTAAATAAATTGTTATGATTACTGTTCGGTGCAAAATCAAAATCTCCATCCCCATTCATGGTTTACCTGAGCCAAATGCTCGACCATTTCAACCATGAGAATGGTGTATTTTTGTATACGCGTCAAACGGGGGTGGGACAAGAATGAAATGAGGGAAATTTGAAATTATGGCATTATTATTATTCATTAAAATTAATGTGGTAGTTTAGGATGAATAAGATTTCCTAAAATGTGGACCGTTCATCGGTTTGGTTTATAAAAAAATCAAGTTTGATTGTAATGAAAATCTCAAAGCAGCCGTCTGCTTTTTTAAGTCGCCAGACAAAAAGTCACCTGAATTTTCTTGATTATTCTGCTGATTTTGATATTTGGACGTAATTGCCCAGAAATTATTAAAATACAATTGATTTCACTTAAGTATTTTCCTGTACAATGTGGTTTGGTTAGTGTTGATTGATTGTGATTGGTTGAAAATATTACGCCGGTTACTAACGAAGGTGAAAACTTGTATACAAATAACTGCGACAAATTTAATCCTATATTTTGAAGAAAGGGACGTTTCATTTCGCTTCCCTCTCTTTGATTTCAATAGCTTCAGCATATTTTTATTGCAACGGGGGTGAGATAAAATTATTCCGCAACTGCATATCGTATAATACTGATATCGAGTTTCGAGAATTGCTTAAAAAAATATTTTTTGTCATTTCGAGTGCAACTTGTATACAGCTATGTAAGAAATGAAGAATTTAATACATTTGCAACAACTTTTAACGTTGAACATTATTTAAATTGAAATTTGCTTTTATTATTGCACTCGACAAATACGCAGCGCTGCAAAGCGAACGGATGTATCAATTGATATAAATTTGCCACGAGTAAGGAAATCAGTAAAAGTTCCCATTAAAGCGTGGCGTTGGAGTAAACACAAATGCATCTAGAATATTAATATTTGATTAATTTCCTACGTCAATGAGTGCCTTTCCATTGTCTCTATAATTGAATATAGATTATTTGCCGCGTTGAAGATCAATTTAAATTCATTTAACTTAAAATAACTCGCTGTACCTTTTTCGATATTAGTAAACAACTTTCGTGAGCAGTATCGGATCGTTACGTGATACTTATTATCGCTTCTATTTAGCACAATTTCCAAAAATCGTTCGAACGAGTTTTGTATAGAATCGGAAAGCCTACATTTTAATTTTTTCAATGTTATAGACTGTTCCCTAAAGGAAAAATAATACAAAAACATATACTTGTTAAACCTTTATATGATACCGTAATTGTTTTTGAATGTTGAAGGACATATTTTGAAGGACTCTTGTTAAAGTTTCTATACATCTTGGTACGCTTTTATTAATCATTTACAAAAATACGTTAATTTGTCGCTATCCAGTGAGTCCTGAATATAAAACAAAACACATACGTTTGAAATTGAAAAGTAGATTTAATATCCTGCATAATTAAAAATACATTTTTATTACTATGATTTTTTTGGTAAACCACAATAAGAAGTTCATTTGCCAGAAATCAGCCGTTAAGGGCCAATATTCGTTAATTACTAAAGAATAATGTTGACATAGTAAAAAAGATTAAAATTTTTCTTCAAAGATACGACTAAATATGTACCTGTACAATAATCCGACTAATACTACCTTATTGAGTACACAATGTGACATGTCTCTAGAAATAATAACTCTTATTTCTTGCTTTGTCGTAAACGTAAACGTAAATTTGGTTTTATATTCATTCTGTATTGGCTGATACCGAAATGGTAAGTAAAAACAGAAATAATATTATTTGTCAATAATAAAATGTATTTTTGAACAATTAAATTGAATTAAATCCATTATTTAAATTTCAAATATTAATTTTATATTCACGATAGATTAACGTATTTTTCAAAATGATAAAAAAAAACGAATGCGGATGGATAGATATAGGAAAGTTTGAAATATTTTCCTAATAATCATATTATGCTAACATATATGAAGGATTTATTTTGGAAAAGTGCTAAATAAGAGAGAAATTGTATTTTGTCGCACTATTTTGCTACCCTGTATAGAACGGGAGTCGGATAAAATAATTACGTCGACTTGGTATATAGATTTCCTCTTTCGTATCTTTTCAATTCTATATTCTAAAAATAATTCAAAAGCCAACAAAGTTCTGAGCACATTTCGAATACAATGGCGCTTCCAATTTAGAATCCACTCGAAAATTTGAGCGTTGTATTATTACCCCACTCGTCGTAGAACAAAAGATTTATACGTAGTCACTTAAAAATCGGTAGCGAATTGTGCGCATCGCAAACTACGGTGATCAACGCTGATCATTTTTTAACTTCAACAAATTGGCGGATCGGATCAAGTCGCGGATCATCAAAAATCGGCCGAAACATCAGTTGCGAACTCCAAGCAGAAAGCGCGAAACGTATCCAATAATGATCGGATTTGTGGAATATTGGAAAAGTTCGGCTTATTTGTAGTTCGTTTTATCTTGGAAAATCGTTAACCAGAAATTCTGTTTGTATGGCAACGTATTTCTGTGTGGTGTAACCAGAACTGCAATAGGGCATTGCCGTGTTAAAAATAGGACCAAATCAGTATCGAAATCTATCGATATTTATAAAAGTCCATTTTGCTTTTGTTTCTCATGTAGTTTTTGATGGAGTTCTTTTACACGTAATTATTGTGCAAAAATAAAAACTCCTTTCGAAAATAGACAGCAAATTTGCTAATAAATAATGCAGTAACATTCGAGTAGAGGTAAAATATCTGTCGAGCCCATTCAAGAGCGATTTGTTGGGGCGAGAACTTGAGATTGGGCCGATCCTTTTGTTATTTATTGGCCATTGCAATTGATGTAGAGGTTTTTTATTATTTTTGACACATGATAACCGAAAAGCAAACACGCAGCAATGGCGAATGTTCTAGTTAAAGTTGGTGTCGACCGGATAGTTTAATATCGCGATGTGTTTATATCGGACCTGATAAAAATACTCTAACGACTTGCGAATCAATTATTGAATGGTTTTAATGTTATTTATTATTCGCAACATTCTTAAATTATTCCAGGGTTAATTTGAAGTATCGATGTTAGAATGGTCTATTATCACTTGTCTAACACTTAATATTACGCGAATCACTAAATAAGTGTTAGAATGTTAGAATACCAATTTGGTGGTACCACTGGAAAATGAGTACTTATTTGTATGCAAATTGTATTGTTATTAGACGAATGGATAAGTATTTATGTAGTTCCGAACACTACAAAAGAAACATAGAGGAACAAGGTTATAGAAAAAAGAGATAAGAAAGGACAACATACAATTTTCACAGATTCATTCAAATGAAAGAAAAAAAAAACAGTGCCCTTATACGACAGCAACCCAAATATATTTTTATTTTTACATTGAGATGTAATATTTTTTATTTTGTATGTGTAAGAGTAACATGTATTGTTAGATAAAATTGCCTAAAAGTGTTTTTTGAACTTTTTTATACGCATTCTTTAAAATATTCATGATGAAGTAGCTGAATGCAGAAAATGTTTCTACTTCTTGTGGTCGGTGTAATTATGAAAACTTCCTTCAAACTTCTATTTAGTTTTATGAACATATTGTTGCGACGACCAAAGCGTAGGAAACATTTACTAATGGCCTGGCAGTAAGGAGAACTTGACATAACTAAGTTTTTATTGAGTTTTAAACAGAGTCGATATACTGACACAGAGAAAGTTGATTGTCAAAAGAGCAATTTAGTTTGACTTATCCTTGAAATTTCGAGACATTCTCATTTTTGCAATCTACACTTAATTCAACACGCATAATTTGTATGTAGTCAAGAAGAGTTAGAAAATTTATCAGATACAATTGTATCGTCGCCTTATTGAAAAACTAAGAATTTAGAAATATATTCTGGCAGATCATGAATAAAAAGCACGAAAATCAGGGGAGCTAGACACTATCCTAGGGAGTACTTAGCCCTTGATTTTCGAATTGAGAAATTGCGCCTTTAGTTTTAACAGTCATTTTATTAGATGCAATTTCGAATCCTCCTTTATATATTTAATTTTACGAAATTAATTTGTGCTGCTGCAACTAAAACAATTTAAATAATAAATCGCTAACTATGCTAAGAATATATTATGGATATTAAATAAACCGTAACGTATGCCTCCTATGCATTTAAATCCTATTTAGCGCTAGGATAATGCACTTTCACAATTCCCTAGTAAACGAAGTAAAGCCATAAGAAAACTGGCTCCGTAGTTGTGAACCCACAAACTTACGAATGAAAGAGATCGTCCATATTCAGTGACCGCGAGGTTGTTAAAAAATTCACACGTGTCACGGCTGAAAATTCTGGCTACTAGGTAGGTGATCCAACATAACACCAACATATCTCAATTTAATTTTGAGTTTATTCTTTCGTTGAACTCATGCTATAAGTTTTTAACACACCGAAGGGGTTTTCCGCTTTTCAGAAATGCGTTTTTTGTTTTTTAAATTGGATTTTTTGTGGAAAGCCCCTTGAAATAACTTAATCTAAAAGCCAACTCCATCTCCATACATTTTTTGTTAATTTTTTTAGTAGGTATTCAAGATTTCGCTGCTTAGACGTTTTTAGTTCCTTAATTTTACGTTTTAAGACAAAGGCAAGACATACGATGGTCTTAAAAGCAGCATCCTAATTCGTAAACGATAAATGCTGCGGTACTTTGATCGTAAGTTTCCCTGCACATTGTTTAGTACCTCGTGTATTTTGATGATAACCTGTATTATATTGCTAGATGTTAATTCAACTGCTACTTGTACAAAGTGAAGTTAACCTCCAGAGCACTGTTGTCTATCTTTGTCTTTTGGCCTTTTATCCACTTTCTGCACTTTTCTTTTCTTTCCATATTTTACACACTCACCCACCAATTCCACTTAATGTATCCAACTAAGCAAAACTACCGCAAACGCTATTGACATCGTCGAATTAATTGGTAATATTCTTTTTTGTATGCAGTGTGTATCAGTTTATTGTAGCATATATATAATATATAATATAATATATATTATATATATAATATAATATATATTATATATAATATATAATATAATTTATAATATACATAACCCAATAAATAGTTGGTTTTGCATATCATTATTTTTATTTAGCAATAGTAGCAGAACTTGACAGGATTATATCTTATCGCGACCGGTGGCTTGTTAGGCAAATAATTGCAACAAAATGCCTTATTATTTTAAAATGGCACAACTCAATATAAAAATAGCTCTAATTTACATTGAAAATGGCATATAAATAATAAAGTTAAATAAAAAAATGCTTATGACTATTTGCCATCGAATATTTTAATAAATAGTTTGACATTTAGAGAACATTTTTTAGTTAATTTGATTTCTCTAGTAGAAGTATAAGTATACAGAGTGTCAAACGGGTAATGTTTCAATATCTCAGTAGTGGCTATTGACAGTAATGGTTTATTTAATTTCGTATACATCAAATACCGGACGTCTGTTTACTGTTGACGCTACTTTGACATTTTGCATAATCATTCAAAAAGCAAAAAACCAAATTTGTTGGAAGCTATGGAGATTAACAAATTGACCAATTGGGTTTAAATGTGTCGATGCGGTTATTAAAACTCTGTTACTAGGTGTCCGAATAGCTGTCCTAAATCATTAAAAACTGTAAAAATCTGAACATTTGTTCAAATTTAATTTGTGGTACTCCGAATTAAAATCTTCCAAAACTCAAATTAGACTAGGTTCTATTTTAATATGGGCTTGTGTCAATTTAAAACATTATCGAATTTTAAAATAGCTTCGTTAATTAATTTTTCAAAGAAACTTCCATTGGCTACTGTAATGCTTTTTACAAAACTTCTGGATTCCTCCTGCGTCGGTTTTTGGTTAGTCGAAATTGCTGACGTTTCGCCAATCATAAGGTTGGCTTCTTCAGAGCTTGACTGAAACTGTTTCAGTTCAGTTTCGACTAAGCAAAAACCGGCGCAGGAGGAATCCAATAGTTTTCTAATACTGAGTATCCCACCTGACAATAAACTAATTCGACCTGTGTAAATATATAATTATTTTTATTTATCAACTTTGTCGATAGCTGAAGATGGTAGTGATCAAGGATAGACCACACAACGCCGGTCAACGAATAATCAATCACCTTAGGGTTGCAAAATGTTTTCCAGATTTGGAGCGTTAACAAAGAACGATTTTACGTGGAGTTGTGGCCAATCGTTGATCAGTTTAGCAGAGGACACGACCACATTACCGAATACATTTTCATTGCACTTGTTCGGTAATATTCCAGGTGTCATGCAGCTCGTGTCCAGTCGCCCCCGCGTCGATAGTAACCGCCCTTCCAGGCTCTAGAGTAATTCGACAAAGTTCACAACCGGAAGCGTCAGTCGCCCCATGTTGCGCAACAAGTTGCGCACACCATTCTGGGGCGGCTGCCCATCCATCTACTTCCTTAAGACAACTAAGAGACCACGGAGAAGGAGGAATCGCGGGCATTGCTGCCGATTCGTTAAGAATCAGCGGCGCTATGCGTAATTTCCGTCAGGTATGATCGTGCGTGGTTCGTTCTCAACTTATATTAAGTTGAAAATGCCGAATCTGTAATATTAAAACGCAAAACATTAGCTCCGATCTACAGCTATGCAACCATTACGGCAAAAGTAAGTAGTCGATTTCTGAATGATGAAAAAAATATATACTGCTCGTTTTAAGCACCAAAAGGTCCCTTTCCGGCAATAGCAAATGCTCCTTTGGACTTGGTATGCATCGACAGAAGGATCCCTCGTAGTTTCTATCGATTCGTCGTTCTCCTTTCCCAGAAATCTTCCTTGATAATGTGTCTTTAATATGTCGCTGTTTCGTTTGGACCCGTTTTCCCTTGGTTCATCAAAATACTGGATTATTCAGTCAATAGTGCGATAATGCCTTGGATCCAATATTCATCTATGCCGACCGAATTCATAGATGCCTCGTTTTAGAAATATTTTTTGAATTCATTAGTCAATATTCATTTCATTTCACTCTTCCGTGCTGTTGCAACGTCATCATTGTATGTCTTGAATAGTTTATGGACAAGCAGTAACTCTAAGTAACAGAAAACGTTGTTTCTAATATAATAATCTAATACAAATTCCATTTAAGGCGTTGATAAAATAATAATTTTTTCAGCCCTCAGTTTTAGGTTTTACCCCTTGTAAACTCGTTTAAGCTTATTAAGAAAAGCTGATGAATTTTCCGTTCGTATAATGGAGCTTAGTTGTGGGGAGTAATTCTAGCCACGCAGAAGGGTATTAAACACTAAAGGTAGTAGGATGAGTTTCTCGTTATAAAGTATGTAAAATATATGCGCTCTAGGTAGTGTTCTTTATCATACTAATAAATAGATGATCGAAAGACAGCGGTATTATACATTTGTTAGTTCCCTTGTATTTTATTTATCTTCAGATTGTGGTTGGATTTTTTAATAGGAACAGGAAACATTTTTCATTGCATTTTATCTCTAAGTAAACAGGTTTCACTTACTGACTGAGTTTTGAGTGCTACGTGCTACGAAAATTAAACGAAACGTCGGAGGCTATCGGCCCATTGCGTGTAAGCCACAATTTAGTCAATTGAGGATGTTGTTGTCTCAATCAGATCAAACAAACTGCCGCAATGTTCTGGTGTATATGATTTTGATTGATCGACTCTAACCGTAACTGTAGCAACTTGCAGAACTATCGATTAGAATCGAAATGACGTAATAGGACGAAATTAAGAAATAAATCAGTATTCCGGCCGTCGTTATTGATCTTGATGGGAAAATGCCGGATCCGGTTTGGTCCCCTTCTTATTTCATTTTCCGTGAAAAGAAAACCCCGCGTACTGTTTAACCTCGCCCCGTTTTTATCACCTCGGAAAACTTTGCAATCGTCATCGGGGAACGTTTTATAAAAGATTCATGAATACCCGAAAGTTTTTATAGCGACTAGCGAGAAAAAAAATCACTATTTTCGCAAAAAAAAAACAAATTCAAAACCGGCGTTTTAGGGGGTGGAAAACATTTTAATGATTAATCCGTCGAAGGGAGAATTGCATTTATTAAATATTTAAGATAACCCTTCGTACATTTGACTTGATTAGAGATGTAGACTGACAATGACGAGGGTGTTTCCGGTGGCTTTTGGAAATAGTTGTAAAAAATCAATGAATAGCGACTTGGCGTTATTGGGTTGGCTAGACATGCCTCGAATAAAATAATAGACCGTGGATAAAGTTGATATTTGAAAAGAATGTGGAAAATGTATTTTCACCCAAAAACTGCGAGACATAAGGTTTGGTGTAAATTTATGTTTTGGCAAGTCTCTACGGAATTCCCGATTCCAAACGTTCTTTTTCCTGTTTACAGGATTGCATTATTGAGTAAGGTGAATAACAATGTTCTTTCTGCAAATGCTGGAGATTTAAGGTTTATTATCACGGAATTTGCTTGCTAAAATGCCATTTGCATTTATTTAATATTTAATTTTGTTTTGTGAAAAAAAAAACATTTCTGGTGTTGTTACGTTGTTTCTACATATATTTTGGCGGTTTTCTCATAATCAAAGTTACATCAGCGCTTGGGAAAACGCATAACCATGGAATCATTGGGTTAGTGTTCCTCATATAATGATAATAATAATTTACATTTTCACACCTATCAATCCAAAATCGTTTAACGCTAAAGCCAAGCCCCACTTGGTCAGATATGTTTGGTGGCTATTGACTACTATTACTCCTAAAATTTCTTAAAACATTGAACTAAAAAATCGACTCTTTTTTTAATAAAATTAATGTGTTTTTTAAGGGGTAAACAATAACTTGTTGCTCTCAATTACGGTCGTGTTGCGCAAGCTGATTAGTTTTCATTGAAACAATTACACAATTCTGCTATTTAATTATCATGCGCGTTGCTCCACCAAACTAGCCCCATTCGAAAACGACATTGTAGCGTATAGATAAAACAGATTGTTATTCAAAACCGATAACCCTTGGTTAGTTTTAGCTTGGTTCAAAAATGTCCTGATTCGATGTATTTCAGTAAGCAATCTAATGAAATTACCACCGAATTCCGTGTTGAGAAATTTCATCGACATTTATTATACTTGTGATCAAAGAGAAATAGTATTATTGATGGATTATTGAATATTGGGCGTGCAGGTTATTAGCAATTTGTCCTGCTACGTTCGAAATCCTGATAGGATTTTAATGAGGCAAATTATTTATTGGATTTTGTAAATGCGGTACATGTTTAAAATGCTGCGATCGCCTAAATAACTAGACCTGTTAATATTTGGACAGATTCCGGATATTTTCGATTTTGCATCTCTCATCTTGCTTTCAGTTCCATCTTAGGTGTTTATTTTTCTCTTGTTTAACAAATAGTTGAAATGTGTTAGAATATGATTGGAGTTGGACAGTCAACAATATATCGACTTATAAACGAGGATAAACTTTGGTAACCATATCAGGTTACCAAAGGGAAGTTCCGGAAGAAAAGAAGACTGACATCAGAAGACACAAAACAAAAATATCTTGCATCTCGACGATACTTGGGTAAATGAATGATATACCGTTGGTAAAACACGGAAGGATGAAAACTGAAAAAGCGCGACGCAAACTTTCATGGAAGGATTGGTAAAAGATTAATAATTACTCATATTGGAGCAAAAATGGATTTGTCAATGGTGGTGGGAGCATTTCAATCAAAACGAATTGGCGACTATCCCAAAGGCATGAATGTTGATGTTTCTGAGGACTACCCGGGTCTGTTATAGTCATGGATAATGCCAATGGAAAAAAATGGCTTACTTTAAATAAAAACCAACTTGTTATTATTATTATTTTGCTTAACTCGACCATAGTTCATCTATCAACTCACAACATGTTGAATGAAATTTTAAAATGAAGTTGTATTGTTAATAGCAGACTGTTTTAGATAATAATAGTTTTTACAATTTATTATTATTATTCATATTATTCTCACTTGATCTTAGAATAATTAATATCTTAAATTATTTCATCTGTATCATTTTAATGAGGGTCGAAATATTCATGTCTGTTATTTCATATTTGTGCTTTGCTAATTTATTTAAGTGTGTAAATATTTATATATAAAATCCTTAATTTATATATTATATACTCTTATGAACTACCTACCATCTTTCTATTGTGTGCAAATTAGTGTCACCCTAATTTAGGAACTAAAAACCACGCCAAGAGCCATCACGAACTTTGACAAAGTAGAGGTACCTGTTATACGTGGGGCAAAAAAATAAAGCCATAACAGCCATCCATAATTGCAGTAAGACAACAAATAAAATCCCTAAGTTTTCGAGCGTTTTATGTGGGAAAACCAATACCCGTGAAAAATGTTTCTCTCTTAATATCGATTACTAAAACCTTTTTTATTCTAGAGATCAACCTTTGTCATTGTCATCTCCTTTGGGAGTATTTGTACACGTGTTAGAAACATATCACTTTGTTTTTCTGGTTTTCTCCTTTAGTTAGTTTGAGGGTCAAATGCGTCCAGCGCAGAGAGGGTCATCAGATTATATTATGATTTAATTGACCTTATTAATTTATTTGGAAAGAAAACTTGCGACATTTAACACGTAATTAATGATAAAATTTTCAATATACAAACTACTTATTTTATCGTGGGTATTGGAATTTTTAAGCCTTAAAAAATATATCGTAATGTTTCAAAACAGGAAATTCGTCGGTTGTCTCCAAGCAGGGAGGGATTTTTACGTTTCCTGAATACATGTATTTTATTGTCGAATATGCTTAGGGCCAACTCTACCGGTGAAATGTTAAATTTTTCTTTGATATTACCATAGGGGTAGGAACTGATGACACTTTGATTGTCTTCACGTTTTATTTATTCATTCCCGTTGGGAAAAAATCGTATTTACCCAATTTCAGCACGACGATGTAATTGTTTCTGTAAAATTTTATTCTAGCGTGGAACAAGGACCGAGTTAATGAAGAAATATTACGAAGTCGCGAAAAAATAAAAGTAAATTGCAAATAAATAATGAAAAATATCATCCCGCGGTTATTTCAATCCCAAAAGGGGAGCTATATAATTTAGCCACGGGCTCTAAAACGTATTTACATGAAGTTTCCGAGTTTGAATTCCCACCGAAATGGAAAACACGGCATGATTTTTTTTATTCGAAAAATTATTATGCCATCTTGTTAAATAAACTTTTCCAGTTATTTTTCAGGCCGAACGAGGTGTTTTTAAAGACCACTTTAGTTGGAATCCTAACTCAAAGTTAAAAATAATTCCCATGTAAGTGTGGTTTAAACGTTATCATCGTTTAATGTCATTAATATAATTTATTACCTTACTGCTTCCTGAATCAATTATTAATTAATACATAGAAAAAATCTGCAGCAAATGGTTACACTATCTCTGTGAAATACGATGCCAAAAACAATTGCGAGCTGATATAGCACTAAATCATTTTTATGGATCCATTAAATGAAAAACGTTATCAGCAGGAATTTTTTTAACCCTTTAGCACCCTTTTCTGCTTAATGTTCCGCATATCAATGTGTCGCCATTGAACAAAAATGTATTTTTTTACAAATAAACCCTCGGTTTTTGTGTAACAAATTATTGTTTTAATGTTTTCAAACCATTTTAAGGCTCTATTCAGTTTAAGTTTTCGCTCAAAATAAATTTGTTTTGTTGTCGCTGAACATTTAGGGTTTACGACTTGGAGGCCGTGGTTTTAGTATCTATTTTCATGGATATTAAACCATTATTTTCAAGTTACGCAAAATTACTACGAACTAACCCTGTTGAAAAACCATAATAATGTTCTGAAAATTCATGATTTGTAGATATCATTATTATTTATTATATCAGTCTATCTTCAACCAACAATAGAACGCTTTATTAGAATTTTATCTATTCCAAATCAACGATGCGCTTTGAGTCGTTAGAGGATTTTTATTCGGGCTGTATTTGAATACGCGAAGTTCTGTTGGTTTTTGAATTTTATCAGCCATTAACCCAAGTGTCACTATAATTAGGAAGAGATACAGAAACGAATACGACGAGAAAGTGCGAAAATAAAACTCCTTCGCCATTTTTCCGATCATGGCAAAAACGCGGGTCAAATGTGAGCTCCGCAAGATATATTTAGACACATTTGAGCATGTTTGTAGTGCCTTTCTCTACAAATTACCAGCGGGATAAAAGTTAGCAAATATTGACTGCCCGTCCGAAAAAAAAAACTTGTTGAGAGCGGAAACCTATTTATACCCGGGCGGTAAAAACGCAAGAGAACGAAACCGACACATTTCCCTCTTTTAGTATCGCTAAACTTGTACTTCATTATTTCCAGAACCCGTGTTTCATTCTCCGATATAATTAGCTTGAATTTTCGGAGTAGGAAGTTTGCGAAAATTTCGTTATTCCGTTTTAGGGCGCGTTCATTGAAATGTGCAATATCAACGCTTTCTAAATATATTGCACAATAGGTGTGTGACGGTTTCTAATCAAGAAACAGCAGGAAAATTTAATATCAACAATGAGTATTCACGGGAACATGAAATTATGAGGTGCGCGTTCAATTCTCATGCTACATAGCTTCGATGTTAAAATTAAATACTTAATTTATTTTACCCCCTTTTTGTATAGCTACAGAGTAATAGGAGAAGGTGGAAACACTTTGATTACTTTTAAACGGTTTGACCTAGCGATTAAAAATTTACATCGCTTAACCAAGGCCCAATGTGCAATTTTTGGAGACAATAGGCTCTATTTTTGAATTTAAAATCGCACAACATATGCGTCTTCCATTTTTGGATTCAGGAAATTATTCGTAGGATCGACACGTCTTTCCCAACCTTTTTTGTTATTTTTTTAAATTTATTTAATGTTGAAAATCTTGTCTAGGCGACTATGAGCACAATAAATAATATTTGCCGGGCCGATGGATAAATTCTAAATGAAACTTTTTCCTATTTGGCTAATGGCAAATAACATTTAATGTAATTAATTGTTTCGGGAAATTAATAAATAATAAATTCTGACTCTTTTTTTATTGATAATTAATGCAGAGTTTTCTGTAAAAAGCACTTATGGCGCCCACATCTTATATATACATTGGTATACACGTTCAATGCTCCTGTTAGTTGAAAGTTTTTAGTGCATTTCTCGTATCCCAAAAGCATATCAACTTTTTTAGCATGATAAAACAACAACAACATGTTGTATACTTTAGACAGTTCAAAATCTATAAGCACCGTATCTAAATTCTAATCGGTTTAATTACATGTGAATTAAAACAAAAAAGATCTGCTTTTTCTTTGCATATCAAGTTTTTCTCCATTGTTTTCTATGATAATTCATATCAATATCACGACAAAGCCAATAATCATAGTGGCAAAACATTTTACTTCTATAACAAATATTTACTGATCTGTTTTTTACTTCCTGTGCGTTTATTTTTTAACGGTTTTTCAAAATTTTGCTAAACAGTGCAGATTACAAAAGGTGTTTGTTTCCACTTGAAACAACCTGGTAATTATATTAGTTCATTACAATACATACTATTTGCCATTAGACAAATAAGGAAAAAACATTTCATCCACAATTTTTCCCATCACTAGGCTAAAAATTAAATGAAAATGTTTAAAATGCAAAAATAGCCCCATCCTGTGTAGAACAACCTCCTGAATCTAAAAATACAAAAGTTACGAAGATTTGATTTGATTTGATTGCTCACTTTTACCACTAAAAACAATTAGACGTCAGCATTTTCCGTGTGCTTCAGTAATTAGAGAATTTGTATTTGAGTCTCATCATCTTTAGAAAAATCGAATATGCCTTATTAAAAATTCTGAAAATAATTTACATGAAGTGTTTAAGATACCTTTCATTTATGTTTCCTAAAAAAGTTCACAAAATTAGATTGCGAATATGCTATACCACTACTTCCATTTCGAAAAAAATCAGGATAAGACAAAAATGCTCCCATTTACCAGGTATAAGGTTTTAAAATCTTTATTGCTATGCTTCTAGTACAAGCTTATTTAGTTCCTTTTGCTTTGATTACAATTGTACTGCCGATTTTTGATGCAAGTGAACAAGTTTTCGAAAAAGCACGTTACATAACTTATTGTGTAACGAAAATAAAACATTTTTGGTTAATTTCCCGGACAGAATTTTATCCCGATTTTGTGAAGTGTAAGTATGAAAATTTTATAAATTGAAAGCGTTGTCGCTGTCTAGGCGGAGAGCCAAGTTTTCAGTGCTATCGTTTTGATAAAGGTGTTTCTCGAAAACGATAGGATTTTAATAAAAGCCTTCACGGGAGATGCTTCGCAGCAAATATTGGAAAATAAAACCTGAAAATTTTGACAGGAAGACGAAAAAAAACTCTGTTATCGTTTTAGCATGAGAGTGGTAAAAGACGATGATGTTTCACGGAAATATGAATAATAATGAAGTTAAACTCAACCTCAATATTCGAGGTTCGACGAAACAACGAAAGTCACGCGCTTGCGATTTGGCGACTTTCCTTTCGTGCAAGTAGTAAATTAGAATCACAAACATTAGTCGCTAACTTACGATTTCCAGAAAATAAGCTTTTGCCGGTTTCTTTAAATTTCGAGTATAATTTTTCCTGTCGAGGTTCGATATGATGGTGAAAACTTTTTGTTTTTGCGCGGTTAACGCAAGTAGTATAGCTAACGCGGTTCGGAGTTAATTGGTGCGTCCGATGATCACGTGATCTGACGTAAAAATGTGTGAACAAGATTTGGTGAATCTGCCAAGTTCTATAAAAACTACCGGGGTGTAGTTTCGCCGAAAAATTATTTAAAATTCGAAATAATGTGAAGAAGAATTAAGGATAAGCTAAATAATCAGTGAAGAATCTGACACGCCGATGACATATGTCTATCCAAAGCACTAATTCACCTAGAACCGCGCAGCAATACTACTAAAACAGAGTGGTTTCAAAACAATTTTTGCATTAAAAATCATCCTCAATTTTGATCGAATTTCAAAATTACATTAGCAAGTAGAAATGTCAATTAAGTTCAGTGGATGTAATTAAAAAATTTAAAGCACACTAGCGATTTGAAGTGGGTAAATAAATCATAAAATCGACGTCCTTATATGCGTAAACAACGAATGCATCGTAGAAGAAACTGGTGAATAAAATTTGATATATTTAACTACGAATTAACTACGTATTTTTTAAACAAAAGTAATAATAATATAATTATTTATGAATTAAAAACTCAATAGCTGGGCTTAAACGCATGTGAGAGAAAGAAGTGTAATAGTTCATTCACCATTATCCAAGAAAAAAATTACATTTGTAATTTATAATTTAAAACTCTTTCGTGCACACCAAAGTAACATTTTTACAATAATATTAAAATGACATTAGCAACAGTACTTTCAACTACCAACGATAAGGAATATTGTAAACTCATACGCCAAGGTATTTTAGAATTTGGCAATTCAAATTAATGTCGCTTTCATCGTAAAAATACAAAATATTTATTAAAACTTTCGTCTTCATTTTCCGTAATCGCTCTATAGCGCTTTATACCTATGCGGGCGCAATGTATATAAACTTTCTCTCTAATATTAATTTTCATGGAGAATAGAATCGAAACGTAATCCGTAAGCCGCCGTTTTTTTTTTTCTATGGAAGTATATGGCGGAAAAAGGACTATGGTTTATTTGATTCTGTTCTTAAATCTAGCCAATCTTCCTTTCGTATTTTACCGTTCTCGAGGGGAAAGAGCGGCACTGTGAACTTTAGAATAGCCGCTGTTCGTATCCATTCAGATGACTACTATGATCCTCTCTCTATGTAGGGCTCTGGCATGCTGTCTTCTTCTCAGATGATGGCGCAGGCGCGGAGGACGAGACTCAAGCGTGCTCTTACAGAAGTCACCAGCGATACAGTTTCCTATGTTAAAACGGTTGGATGATCATATAGACTCCCTCTAAAGTCCTTCGCTTATTCACATAACCTCAAATAAATATTTATACGTTACTAGTAAAAACGGAAGTAAACGAAATGTGTCGTTATAATTCGTACTGGAGCAAAATAAACTTGAAACTTTGTTGTCGGTTTTCGTCGCGTCCGGTCAGGTGAACAGGTAATCACATATTTTTATATATTTTTTTTCTATTTCATATCTCGCGCCAAATGTTTTCGTACCTTGGATCTTATTTAGGAGACATCGTCGTTATTTCTTTTCATGCGTCCCGACGATAGTGCGGTTACATATTTTCAATTAACTTCAGATAGTTTGGTCGCTGATTTTACGAATTACGAAAAGCCGCTAACGAATAGAATAATTATTGTGGCCAAATACCCAATTAAATTTTCACTCTAATTATGAATCGGCCGCAAACATGTCGGCTGACGTTTTCCCACTTTTAATCTGAATTTGAATGTAGTCTAGATATTTTAATAATTAATTTTATATCTTAATAATAATTAAATAACAGCATCTGGCGTTAAGATTTATATTTTGAAATCGTCGGTTTTCTGTGACAAAGCATATTTTCGCAATCAACATATCTATGAAGATCGATCGAAATTTCATATATTTTTAAGTCGAAACTTTAGGCTGTCTAAAAGTGAAGGCAATATACAGATCGTTCGCTTCTAACTCAAACGATTTGTAGAAAATCTCTTGGGTTAAATTGAATTGAGTTATTTCATTAAAAATGATTAAAAATTAATTTCTGATGCATCAATTGCAAATTAAATAAAAAGTGTTGCGAGTAAAAATGCAATTTCCTTTTTTTGGCAATCCCTTCGTACAAAAATATGCTAACATTTTTTTAAATTGTTTATAGAAGACGTCATTTATAAAGTATTGTTATTGTAAATTGTGTCGTTCAAATTTTAAACAATTTCTGCATTAAAAATATACCTTTTCGATATTCTAACCAGTAAAAGAAGCAAAATTCAAGCGGCTGCTTTGTAGTATTGTTAGTTTTGGTGGCTTTATAATTTACAGAGTAAAAATTTATGATCCGATTAACCATATCGATATTATCGTAACAGTTAATTATTTCCTAAGAATTTGGGTCAATGATCAACCATTTTTATCTAAATCTTTAGTTTTTAAGTTCGATCTTTTTTTAAATGCAATTGATTTTGATATTTGAGGTTATGTGAACCAAAGTGCACCACGCTGAGTTGAGACATTGCCGTTATTTGAAGCAATCTCGCGCACTTCTGGAACAACTCCTTAAATGCAATAGTAGCACCCACTCATAATTGCGCATGCGTTTTCTGGAAATGATTCTATCATTTAGTTCCTTTTTTTAAGATTTCAGGATTATTTTTACAAGCCAGTTTGAAATTGATAGTGTTTAAAATTATTTCGACAAATAAAAATACAATGATATAATGTATTCACTGTTTAATTTTCAAAATAGAGAGTCCCTGTGGGACACCCTGTATATGATTATGCGGATTGTACAATATGAATAGCCAACTTAAACTTAAAATGCCTTCCATTTTTGTACCAACAAGTTTTCCATTAGCGTTGCTAATTTGGACATATTCTCGCCCGGAAAATTTTTCGTCAGGGTTGATAAATAAGGGGATGATGACAGCTAGCCTCCGGCTTCGTAAGATCTAGTGAAATTTCCGTCGGCGTCTTTTTTTGCTTATGCATTTCTGCATGATAAATGTCATTTTTGTTAATACGGAAATATGAAAATGGAAACGACATCGAACTGCGAAAACGCAGTTCGACACTCCATAATTATATCATCGAAAGAGCTAACTATCCAATCCAACGTATAAATATAATCCATCACTTAGTCGCCTATACAAAAACCAGAGATATTTGACAGAACTTATTTCTGTAGGTGTCAACAGATCTATAATACCTGAACGTCAGCTGTATAAAGTATGATTAATGCACCCTTAGAGAATATTTCCGAGAGATTTTTTTCGAATCAAGCGGAGAAATAGAAACGGGAAATACTTAACCTTTAGAGTAGAGCTTTCTCCGGTAGTTTTTACGCATTGCTGGGAAAACGTATAGGTAGGTATATGGCGTTGCAATTTTTCAAGGAATTAGGTACGTATAGTGCACAACGCAATTCGTTTCAAAATTGTTCAGGTATTAATCAAATCCGGAAATTTTTCGCTGTCGCTGCAAGATATGAAGAAAATGTTCAATGGTTTTTAGTAAGAACCAGCGATTACAATAAAAAAAGACTAGTGATGGCACAAACGGAATTTAAAGTACAAAAACTTTCGTTATTAAAACTTTATGTCCGTTTCAAGTAGAATCTTGCCTGCAGAAAATTTGCTAAAAAGGAAAATAATATACATGGTTTTTCTATGTTACGGATGGCGAAGTTAGAACTGAAGTTTTAAAATTCCAAATTTTCCCAAAGCAATTTAAGTTTCCGAGGGAAAATGTTATCCACGTGCATTCTACTTTTTCGAGGTACGAGATGTCCGCTAAGTAGTGCATAAAATGAAAACATCTGAAATCTGTTTGAATCGCAAAAAAAAACACGAATTTGGAATGCTCCCCGATTTGGAGTTATTAGAATGCAAAACGTTGTGCATTGTGAGTCAAAAAATGTTCGTCAATTTTATATTTGAGTTTTTTTTTGGCTCATCAATTATGAGTTTCTACTTACTATAGTGACGAGTCTTAAATCGATATTTTGAAAATATTTTTTTTAAATGTCAGAATGATCTTTATTACTATTTTACTGTTGATTATTATCTATTGTCAAAAAAATGCATTTTAATTAAAACGCTTGTTTAGCTTAAATTATAGTTTTTTAGTGGAGGATTCAATTGATTATTGAAGTAATTTTGATGCTAGCTTCAAACAATGAACTGAGAAAAAAATCTGTTTGTTTTTAAACTCACCAAAGACAGATGAAATATTTCCATCAATTAATCTTCAATCGAATAAATAAGTAATAAGTAAAATTGTCGGCCATAATTATCGAAATCGATACAAATTCATTGAATAATAAAGCGGAAATGTACATCAAATAAATGCATTTTGCGCTAGGTAAATTTATAATTCGAATTTGTTTGCAGAATGAGACGTAAATTCGTTGTGCTAATAAAATTTGACCGTAACTTCCGTTTAATCAAGTTCAAACTGGTTTGCCGACGTAAGTTTATTTTGAATATGCGGTTCGATCTTGAAGCAATGCGCCAGTTAAAAAAGCTAATTATTCCAGACAGTTTGGCAATATTTTATCTGGATCATCAACTTCGGAATGACAGAATCATTTTTTTTCTACACTGTACGTTTGCTTTGACCACTTGGCACCGGTTAACTCGACCTAAACTCGAATGGAAGCTAACTTTTCAATAGAAAAAGACAGTTAGTAATGCAGGTTCTTTCCTCTCCCTTGTGATACATAGATAGATAGAAGAATGCTCTGAAAAGTGCATACAAAATTCAAAATATTTTAATCTTTTTTATTGCTTAATAGCAGTAGCATTATTTAAAAAAAGACTTATTGTAGATATTTAATACAGAATGTTTATCACAGCCCAAAAAGAAAGGTAAAGTCTGTTCATAGATATAAGAAAGTGACTAACTGATACGAATTAAGGAAATACCCGGGCAAGCTGTAAGAATGAAATATGGCCGAACAGGTCCATACTTTGCTTATAATTTAATTATTTGGGGTTTTGTGAGGAAAGATACAAAACAATGTTTATTTATTTATGTATGTATTTATGTTTAAATCTTAAATAAAATTACAAATTATTTTTATTACCTACTTAAATTACTTAAAATTATTCACATAATACATCAGTATCACTATCGCTATCATCGTCTGTTCTAATTATTATTTGTTATATATTATTTGCAATATGGATATACGATTTTTCTGCTTTTTCTATATGTTTAACAGAATTTGTCCAACTTTGTGGAGGGATGTTAAAAACTTCGGTTTCTATAAGTTTGAGGATATTGGAGTTAACACGGGGAAAAACATTTTTCAATGGTATTAAATATACTAATATACAGTGGTAAGGTGTAAGGTGTAATGTCGTTATTATGCATGTAGTATTGGATTGTTGCTTTTGTGTCACATGGGGAAGGGGTTTTAGTCAACTATCTACTGTGATAACTTGCATTGTCCATTACAATGACGCTATTAGGAGTTTGTTGTTTGGAACTAGTTTGTTTTTAAACCAACTTTCAAATAAATCAGCGGTGAGAAAGTCCATTTGGAATCCAACGATCTTTAGAGCCAGCATGCAAAATAGTTATTGTTTTACCTCTTTTTGATGGCGTGTTTGTTTTACATTTATCAGTTGAGTCAACCCAATCCTTTTCTGGGGTATCACAAGTGTCGAACCAGGTTTCATCCAAGTAAATAATTGGCCTTTGTTGTTCTCCGTAAATCCTATTGTTTTTTAGATATTCCAGTCGCCATTTCCGAATTCTAAAAGATTCCATTAAAACTTGCCTTTTGCCAATTTTTTAAAATCTAAATGCCACATTTATCACCGGTTTCATCTTTTTCAAGCCTCCCAAATAAGATATCTAATGTAGGTACGCTTTGTTCCTCGTATTTTACGCCGTATTATATCTTGACCACTTTCATCTACACTCGAAAAAATATCAGCATCGCTTCTTTTTTTCCTCGCTGAAATGGGATTATTCACAATTTTCACAATTCACAATTTGTTGGAATTTTCGTCAATGTGGCCGTTTCTTCTAAAGATGCTGGCTTGCTGGCACCACGTTCAACGAGAGTCAAATAAACATTGTTTATAACTTCCTTAGTCTCAATAGAATAGTGTATTCTACATTTGGGAGGGAGCATCTCCTGAAATTCAGCACATATTTTGCATAATTCGCACACGATTCAACACACGCTGTATTACACACGAAATAAGAATAAACTTAAACTAAGTAGTATACCAAACCAAAGAATGTTAAACACAGGTAGGTATAAAATTATTTTCTATTACGGACCACAATTTTAACTGAATTTAAATTCCGAAACTTTAGGTAATAATCTTGTTGCATTGTATGTTAATGACCACCCTTGGATAATCAAAAGCAATTGATCACTTTCTTATATCTATGAACAGACCATACCCATTAACAGTAGATTTAACCCAAAAAAAACAAACATTTATGCATTTATGTGCCGTTAAAATTAATCTGTAGGATAAAGAAAAGAATACCCATTACTACCCGTTTCCCTCTAAATTTAATTTGCGACACAATCGATTTTGGCATTACCGCCACCATTACAGTTGGGATCGAGTTCACTGCTTGGCACTGACTTAAGCAACTATCACGCTTTACAACTTTACACTATTTACTACGTTTATTATAATCATCTGATCTATCGGTTTAATTGCTGAGGACACTTTTCATCGTGCCCACTTAGTTGCAAAAACTATACGAGAAACCAAAAAAGCATCGGTTTTTTTAACAAAGACGCACCAAATTTCATTAATTCAGACGACGGAAGCCTTGAATAGTAGAAGGAAGTGGGACGAGCGAAACGTGTATTTTGTTTACTTTGTATTTAGAAATATTCGTTTCAAATCGGTTTGCGGCATTTAAATAGGGCGTGTAAGCACGCCAATGAATAAATTAGCGGCGATACTCTATTTTCGCATTTGGAAAATTCAACAACTCGACGCAGTCGAGATTTTTGGGCCGCACTGTCATATTTGCGGCTTTTGTCTAATATTTGGGCGTTTAACGCAATAATATTTCGCGGAAAACAACACAATGCGCTGCGGTACGTCATGAAATCCATAATTTCAGTTTTATAAAAAATATTAATTAACTTGATTAAACGATTACTTTTAGACACCGTCATAATCTACACATAAAACATTGAACGCAGTTTTATTGTTTTCATTATTCGAAAATGGTAAAAAAAAGTTGTATATGTAAATCCATGGAAAATTAGGTTTAAATTCATTTTATTTTAATTTATTTCCTTCTTAATGCACGTGACCAATTAGATATTTTGAGAAGAAAAAAATCTCCGCGCAATTTTTTCAGGCCAGCTCAAAAGGTGGTTGGAAATTTTTGCGCATTTCCGCCAAATGAAACTAGAACCGAAACATTTTCATCATGTATATATAATGCATAAAAGTAACACGACGCCATTAGAAATTACATTTCATACTTCTCCTTTTTTGACGTAATTTGACGAGGAAATATGTAGTGGCAGTAATTAGCGGAGTGCGTTTTCGTAGTAGCCTTTTACGAAATTTGCTCTTTATAATCGGACGTAGTCCCTCCCCTTCATCTCATAAAAAAAATCGCATCAGTTGCTTGGAAACCGCATTAGTTTAGGGACATTTCAATCCATATACCAGTTAAAGTTGGGTAAACGATAGTTGGTAAAATTAACGCAAGAGTGCGAACTAAAATATCTGATTTACAGTTGAGAAAGCCTGTTTCCACTCTATCCATTCCTGGGGCGGTGAAAAACTCCAGCAGGGATTCGGCTGGAGGTAAAATGCAACAGGAAGAGGGAACTGGAGTGGCCTTAGGTGACTACCCAAGGTTCATGGAAGACCGAACAATAGGCACAGGCTACAAAGGACCATCGTCTGGTAGCTTGAAGCACAAGCCTAACGTGGGTTATAGGTTAGGAAGGCGCAAGGCCCTATTCGAGAAACGAAAAAGGATCAGCGACTACGCTTTAGTTATGGGGATGTTCGGAATTATTGTTATGGTTATAGAAAATGAACTTTCAAGTGCCGGAGTTTATCGTAAAGTGAGATATTAATTCTACAATTCATTCCGTTTCTATTTGTTTGTCTGTCTAGTCTATGCCATAATCTACTGCCAATGCAGATAAAGTTGACGGGTTAATTTTTGATTGTTTCAGGATGAATTTTATTCAATTGCGCTCAAAACTTTGATATCTGTATCGACTGTGATTCTATTAGGCCTCATCGTAGCCTATCACGCTTTAGAAGTTCAGGTGAGGATGTTTTCTTAAGTAACGTATACGTATTGCTTTCGAATGGGGAAGACACTCCATCATGGCCCTCCCCTAGCGTTTTCTAAAATTCCCGGCATAATCGAAAACATTGTTACGAACCAGCCCAATATCTGGAATGTGGACGAATTATTTACCAATCAACTCGTAACGTAACAAATGCTAGAGCTTGCAACATTTACCGCTTGGTGCTGTTTCCATTGGACCTCCGCCGCCCAAATACGCAATAATTCACGAAGTTTTATTTCGGCAATCTCAAATTTCGTTCAAACTTTAAGTAAGCATCCATAAAATTCCGTAAATTTATTTCAGCCGATGGAGTAATAAAAGTTTCCCTGGTTATGTATCTTAGAAATGCCGTCGCCGTAATTGAATTTAAGTTTCACACTACTACAAATTCATTGTCGATTGCATAAAAAAATGGTTAGCGTTGTTAACGGCAATATTCGCCATTTCTTCACATTCGACGGACTATTTTCGTAGTTTACCAATACAATGGGAAGAATTCCATCGGAAATTTTTAGAAGCGACACTGGGACACGAAAAAGGAAGGTTTTGTAAAAAATTGAACTGAGGAGGCTTTTACTTGATGAAAATCCATTTATCAAAATAAATAAAAACATGACATGACAATTGTTTCGATAACACCGTGTCTTTATCAAATGTTCCATGTCAAAATATATAATTTCATGAAAATCTGAACTTTTAATTTTTATTTATTTTGGAGGCTTTGAAATCTATATTCTTTGACGTTTATCTCCGATAATATATTTTAGCTTGTCTTTCAAACTTTTTTTGCAAAAAATAACGATTTTAGAAATCTATTTCTATGATTTCTTCTTCAATATATCTTTGTTCTCTAAAATATATTCCAGCCTTTCACATGTGATAACATTCATTCGTAGTTTTTATTGTATTTTCACATTTGACCTGTACCGAATAGCTCAGAAGCAACACTTTGTTGGCAAGAGCGTAGTTTTTTTAATTGAATTTTGATAATCTCTTGTTTGAAATATATTTTCTATTGTTTTATTACAGTAGTCTGTGAAAGTGTTTCTTTGAGATATTAGAATGTGTCGTGGAATTTTTTGCATTTGGAATAGGTACACGGCGATAAATTTTATATAAACGAGAATTACGTATTTCATTGGCATTTACATTTAAATCGACTTTCACTCGGAGGAGGGTGATTTAGCTGTTCAGACAAACTGCCACTGTTCTGATAAACAGAGGAAAACGACACCATAAATCGGCGCGAATGGCGCCAATTCTATCTCATTTTATTCCACGGATGTTGTGTGTGTCAACGAACTCTGTAATTTTCCATTTTCTATAGAGACCTGAAAACGTGATAACGTACGTGTTCAACTAGACGGTAGCTGCGATTCAAATTGATATTTTAATTTAAAAATCCCCGAGCACACTAATATTCTGTATGGGACTCGACTAATGGACAGACAGACAATATATCATCTATTACTTTATGTTGTTTTGGTGTAAATGGAGAGGATTTTATCGATTTCTGCATTCTCGAATGCGAGTAAATACAATCGAATGCGTGTACACTGAGCTGCTGCTATATAATTGATAAAAGCCAACATGGGGAGGTTTTTCCTGGGTTATTTACATGTACTTCGTAAAAAACGTTCTCGGTATTTTTATAGAAAAATAAACGTAAGTTTTTAATAGAGATCAAATTTCGCACACCACTAAATACAGAGTATTCTCACAACCTCATGAAACGTATACTTTTTACCTTGAAATATACGGGAACTCACAACAACTCCCCTCTTAATTTTTAACTCCCGTTAGCTTTCGATCCGTGACGTCACGCGGTAAAAAGATGACGAAACTGTTAAAGAATGTATCGGCTTTATAAATTTAATATGAACATTACGAATCCAATCGATCGTTTTAGCTTTGTGCTTGCCGACGATTTACAAAGTAGTTTCTATCTGTACCAAATTTTTGCAAAAGTTTTCGCGTCGACAACAATGTAAATTTCTTCTTGTGTCATGTAAATTTTACAACTCTTTTACGTTCTGCTCTCTATTAATTCACGCCCCATATTAAGAGTCGTTAAAACTGAAACAAGTAAATTTGCGATCACCCTATAAAAGTACGAATGCGCTTCACACAGTTAATTAAAAAATGGGCGCTTTACTTCCGTCGTTAAATTGTAATCCTTCAAGACTACAAATTATAACACTAGGCAAAGTTTTAAAATTAGCCGCAATCCCCGTCGCATTTCATTAGAATTAGTGCGATAAGTAAGTCAATTTATATTAATTTGAATTTTTAATTTCCACATTTTACCAGTATCTTTAATCGCTTATAAACGGTATTTAACTTTGTTACTATTGCCGATATTTACGAAATAGTTTGCCGTTCCATATTTCCATTTACATGCTTTTAAAATTTTATTGATATTTATTCTGTTAAACAAGCAGTAATCGTGAAAAGGAAAGGTCAAAACATTAGTCAGAAATAAAATATTTACGTGACTTTGTGTAAGACTTATCGACCCATAGACTTCTCTCAATATGGCTTTAAACCGTTAAAGGCGATATCATCCCAACAGTCACTATGAGTATGTTAAGCTTGAGTTACAAGTTATATAACGCACATTATCACGAAATTCCATTAAACTCATTTCCATCATCCGTAACACTTATAATAATTATAATTAAATTTCTTCTCCAACACTTTTAAATCAACAATATAAATATCAAGGAATCAGAATGGAATGGGTTGGTGACCTGTGTCTAAATAATTTCTCCCAAAAATAGTGAATCTCAGTGGTCCCAGCATAATGAGATTGACATGAATGAAGAAAAGACTAGTAACTAGACTGACAGCAGGTGAGAATGCAAAAATATTTGGCATATCGCTAGAGAATGGTCTAAGATGGAATACTCCCAGTATTTGTCTGCTAAGATGATTCAAACAATTGATTAGCATCGAAACACTTAAGTGCTACTACTATGGAACTTGTCATCATGCATCATCCTATTTTTAAAAGTCTTGGTGTATCAACTCAACCCAGTCTTCGCATCTGGTTCAGCTTAACAAATATTCAATAAAACAAATTTCATCTATCTACTAATACGTACTATCACGATCACAATACAAGACAACCATATCATCTGAGACATAATAACTTTCCGTACTTGTGCTTCTCCTTAACTACGTTATCTAGAAACTCGGAATTTAAATCTCACCCTTTTTTAAAAAAATTTTGTACCTCCGTGTTCCGAACATTCCCGGAATCCTATCTAGTTTATTTTAATGTAGATTGGTTGGTAGTCAATTTTAAAATTACCATAATTTTTCGTTAACCCGTAATCATTTGTTTCAATTTTTTTAAAATTCAGTTGGTTGTGTGTGATACGATGTCTGAACTTAATTTGTGAAATTGTTTTATTGTTATTTTGTTTTTATTCTTTGGCCAATATATTGCTGCCTATTTTATATTTTTAATTATCTTGTATCGTATCGTATTATAGAAGGTTGTTCAAAATAGAATTCTTTTCTTCTAGTTTACTATATGAACATTGGGTCGAAAGTCTCTTTACAACTCCCTCTACAAATATGGGGGAAAAACAAACTTTTTATTTTATTTCATAAAAATAAAGAGACACATTTTCTCTGTTTTTTTGGATGAATAGAAGAGATTAAAAAACAAATTACGCAATGGCTCTTGTTATTTTTTAAATAAAACCTTTACTCATTTACGATTTATATCATTTTCCTTAAATTTTGCGTCTCTTTGTCTATTGGCCAGTTTTTATCGTTTCTTTTACCTTTGCTACTTAGTATTTAGCTAATTATTTTATTATTTAAGATTTTTGAGAGAAAACTACAAAAACTCCATGAGATTAGGATTTTCCGTAAAGACATTCCAAATCTTAAAGTTCCACATACGTGTTGAATAAAAGTGAGAGTTTATACATAGTATACGATATTGCTTACAAATGCGGAACGACGGTGCAAGGTGCTACAGTAATTTTAGTGTTCACATCATACTATATTTTAAAGTTTATAGCGGATAGGTACGCCTTGAAGGGGTGCTTATTGCCCATAAAATTCGTTCTACGCTTTATAAATCAACACCTTTTATAAAATAAAATGTCACATAAATGTTGCAACTGTACAACAGCGGTTTAGGACTAGAATGCGATTATTGTTGATTTAACCAATTACTCGTTTTGAAATACCGAGCCAACTAAACTCACGCGTTCTGAATGTTTTATGTTATCCTGTAGATTGGTCTACAATCAGCAGATTATTATTGCTATCCCAAAAGTTGGGCCTGCGTTTGAAATTGGGAGAGAAACTCGTAATTGAATCCAAAACTTTCATGCCGAATTACAAACGCGATGCCAGAGGTCATGCATTTATAACGTAAAAAGGAAATGTTGGAAAGTTGCAAGCGTTAGCGTTTGTTGTTTTCAACCTAAAATAATATTAATTTAATTTTCAGCTTTTCATGATAGATAACTGCGCGGACGATTGGCGGATCGCGATGACGTGGCAGCGGATATGTCAAATTTCCATGGAGTTAATCATATGTGCGGTGCATCCGATACCTGGACATTATAGATTCGTGTGGACTACGAAATTAGCAAATAAAAATGGCGGTATTGGTTCAAAGTGCGTTCCGTACGACGTGCCGCTGTCTTTGCCGATGTTCCTTAGACTTTATTTAATCTGCAGAGTGATGTTGTTGCATAGCAAACTATTTACGGACGCATCGTCGCGCAGCATCGGAGCATTAAATCGGATAAACTTTAATACGCGATTTGTGCTCAAAACATTAATGACCATTTGTCCGGGTACTGTGCTGTTAGTGTTCATGGTTTCCCTTTGGATCATCGCCAGTTGGACATTGCGACAGTGCGAAAGGTGAGCGTTTTATTTTTATTGCAGTATGCTGAAATATGGATTATTTGAAATTGATCGAAAACATATTGAGAAATATCACTCAAAAGGTCACGCTCGCATGCAAAAATGTTGTCTAAAATATAAATAAATAGCTGTAGAGGGAACACATAAAACTGAACGATAATAAAATTTCAACTATGGCTAATAGAAAAAACATCATATGTACAATTTTATTTAGAGGTTGGGAACAAGCGGGCAGCTATAATACTTCAAACAAAACAAAATATTTTGATACCAAGACCAATTAAAATGTAGCATAACTTAGGTTAAATTTAATTCGTTGTGGTATTTTCCAGAAAACCCTTTTTCGTAAGGTGTTATTTTTACAGATACATCTTTAAAAAAAATGTAATCATTTATTGACAAAGTAAATGATTGCATGTATATAGTTATTAAACAATGAAAAGGTAGCAATGCATGAAGTAGAATTGAAGGAACTTTTAAAATATTATTCGTCATTATCGTCAGTCGGTCCTGATGATAAGATTACACATATCCGGTTCAAGAATTTTAGTTGCAAATTTGAAAAAAAAAAGCAAATTCCGTTGAAAATTACTCCAAGACTGTTAGAACATTTCAGCTTTTGCTCTTCGAATTCCAAGTTCAAATGGCCTTGACTGTGCCAAATTAACAAAATTTATAATTTAGAGTTTTATGATTAAGTTCGTTCATTATCAACGCTCGTAATCAGCTCATCGCCTAAGGGCGCGGCCCTGAAAAATCTTAATTTATTTAAACTTCGATGAACGTATTTAAAAACTCCTTGATAACAGCGTAAATTATGATAAATTGCAGACTTGAACGTTAATAAACTGTTTACTAAATTCAAGCGAGGAATAGATGGATTATCTTTTAAGCGTGTTAAATATAAATGAACTCTTTCAAGCATTACCCCCATCCTTTCTAAATATTTAGCGTTAGCTACTCAGTTTCCTTTACCTGTAAAAATTTGGAGTCAAACTTATAACGAATAGAGGGAGAAGGGATAACTGTGTATTGCTGGATCTTCCTGAAATTGACCCCTATTGCGAGTTAGATCCCCACTGCAATTTGCAAAACTTATTGTCGAGTATTTCAATACACGATAATTGAACGAATAGTTTATAGGACAGTTGTCGGATATGTATATATATACACCCGGTTCACGTTGTTTGTATTTGGTGTGTACGATGGTAAATCAGTTCTCATTCGTTAATAAATCATTTACTATACGAATATGAATGCGTTGTCGTTTAGGGATGTCGATATGCAAATCGATTCGGTGAACCGGTAGAATAGTAAGAGAATTTCCTCAAGTTAGGAACCAGATCGCTGAAGTACATTTGTGCTAAATTTATAGCACAAAAACCGTGTAATTTGGTTCGTTCCTCGCCATTTTATTATTTTACTCAATTCTTCGCACCGGCATGTGTCTTGTTATTTGTTTTTCGTCGATGCTGTGACAAATGAAGGTAGTTCGGTTCGTAATGACTGGCACTTGAAAAGTTTAAATGAAACTCAGCAAAAGTTTTTTGACGTTAAATTGGCCGGTTTTGTTGGTCGACATAGAACGAACGGTTCGCGAAAGCGGACACGTTTGTTTAATCAAAAAACCGAACGGCTCTAGAACTATTTTAAATTGGGAATTTAACGGTAGAAAATCAAAAAAGGCGGCGAATTTTTATCGGCCACTTTGGAAGAAATAAATTTCAGATAACGCTTTGTGACGGCGAGTGGTATTTGTGATAACGGATTCTACAGAACCCATTAAGTTTTAGACCGATAAAATGCATTAGTTCTTGGCTTCACTCGTATCTAGCATTGTGAGATTGCATATAATCTAGCACTTTCCGATTAACCCAACATTTTCGGTTAAATAATGGTTGAGCGGGCAATACAGAAAAACCATTCATCATTCAGTGTTGCTTTTTTTTAATTGTATGGGGGATTCAACCAAAAATGTATAAATAACAGTTAATCCAACAGGAAACAAGTTATTTTCTTTATTTTCAAATAATTGCCTTCTTTAATTGAAAAAAAAAATGTGTTAAAACGTTAGGCTTAATTAAAATAAATTTTTGCCTACCTTTTTTTGCAAAAATAGTTTTTTAAATTCTTGAAGTTTATTGTAATAAAAAGCATTAATCGAATCAAATGGTTTTCCCTTTTCCCAGTTTTAAAGATTCAACTTCAATTCTCAAAGAAATCCTGCGAGGCTTACGTGTGTATATTTAAACCGTATAATTCCAAGTTTAGCCATACGTTGAGTTTAATTAGAAACTGCAGTAATTCCAAACGCGGGATGCAAATAGGCCATTGTTTTATTTCCATCTTAACCATTATTGCATATCATTTGCAGCATCTTTATTTAATCATCTGGTTAATTAAACCGTGTTTGTGTTTTAGGAGGAATCTCTAAATTTCCTCCGCCACGCATTTAAGCGAAAATTTGAAGCGGCGTTGTTCGATAACTCGAATGCCGTAAATTTATCAATTATCTGAAATTTATGTTTAGTAATGGGGATGAATACTACCACGTCACGATAATATCGTTTCGGAAGAAACTAGGTAGGAATTTCCCAAGTTAAAACGGCGATTTTCTTAATTCGGCTCTATTAACCCCAGCAACGACCCCACCGACTAATTTCTTAAATTAACAAATCGAAAATTGCCACTTCGTTACTAGTATTTAACAGTTGACCCCATTCCGCTAACGAGTTGTTTTTTTTTGCCTTATTGCGAATCGAAATAAAAATACTTCTTCTTTCACAACAATAAAATTATTAGTTTAAGTTGAAGGGTAGTTCGATGATTTGACGCTAATAAGATAACTCGAAGTTTTAGCTTCAGGGATGTTCGATGAAAAGAGTGACCTTTTCCCAAGGCAACGGATTTTGTTTCACCGTAGTCGTGGCGAGGGAGCCATTTTTGTAATTTTTTTTATTCTTACACTACTACATCCAGCATCATGCTGGATGAAGAATGTTTTGTTTCAGACAAAAAAAATTGTTTACTAAATGTTTCTGGTGGTTCGAAGAAATATAAGAATCCCCATTACATTTGCCTCACGTTTCAAATGCGCAGTTGCGACTCCAGCTTAGATAAAGTTCACTAGCTGAACCTAGTGCGGCAAAAGTTTCTCCCAATTTACAACATTGCTACGGGGCTTTGCATCGCGACCCCACTTCGGGTGCGCAGAACCCCTTAAAAGGATCGGGGCCCCACGGGCGTTTTTGAGGTTATGTTCGTCCAAACCCCCATTGGTTATCTACTTTGATGGTAGCTAAAGTTAGTTAATAATATTATCAGAATATACAAATACTGAGATTTTAATGAAATTTGAATTTGAATAGAGTCTGCTAAAATCCATATCGAATTAATATGCCACTTTTATTTATTGTCGTCTATTGTTGGTTTCAGATTCCACGATGAGGAACATGCGAACCTTCTAAATGCAATGTGGCTTATCGCGATTACCTTTCTCAGTGTGGGATTTGGTGACATCGTCCCCAATACATACTGCGGAAGGGGTATAGCAGTAAGCACGGGTATAATGGTGAGTTCTCGGTCTTAATTTACAAATGGTGGTAGTTTGAGGAAACGAAAACTTTTACAACACGCGTTAAAAAGTTAATGGACGTGGAAAGTCTTTCAGATCATAGCACGAAGCTGTAAATAAAAAGACGCGGATAAGAATTACGCCAATAGTAGTTCCACGTACATTAGAGCGATAAACAAACGGTATGTTTTAAACCATTTGAATCTTTATTGCTCGTAAAAGTGATAAAATCTCGAGACAATTTCAGATCGGCTTAACTCCTTTAGCGAGTTTTATCAAAATGGCATAAACGAAATTTATTTACTCCCTTGCGCGGCAAAACATACGATTTACTACATTTCGTGTTGTGTTTAAGAAAAAGTGAAAATCATTTTCGTGTCTAAAGCTGCCGCACTTTCCAGGTGTAAAGTACGTCAGATATTTCATGTCACTTTTTTTTACGTCGGCGTGTATTATTTCCTAATGACCAAAAGCAACATATTATACTAAAATTTATACGGCGTCCTGTGTAATATATTCATATAAATTTTATGTGCGTGATTTACAGCGCTGTTTCTAACAAAAGACATTTTCTTTTTACCTTTGGGCTATTATCTTATACAATATGTGCCTTTTATAACCTCGCTATTCGCCACAGATTTTTGATCGGAAGCTTTGTCGCTTCTTAACACCAGCAAAATACGTACAAAATACACATTTTCGCTATTTGCAAAAAAAAACGATCTTCAGAAAAATGAAAAATAATATTTTAATATTAATTTAATCAAATTTCCGAACTTAGGTATTATAAGATTAAAAACCACTCCACATCTCTTTGAGCTGCCAAGAGAATTTATGAAATGTTTCCCATTTAAATTGAAGCAACATGTAATTCAAATAGGACTGGCAAATCGTCTACATATTTTCGATGTAAAAGCAAAGTAGTCACGTTTCTTTATTACGTATAATCCACCCGGTATTTGTTATTATAATATTTTTATATACTTCTAGATTTATAGAAAAAAACTGCAGTCGTTTCAATATCGACTCTACTGATCTTACGTTCACAACTAATAAAACGTTGTTTTCCTGGTTTTTATTTAACTGTAAACCCCACACCTGACACTAAAAAGCTACGACTCCATTTGTGTGTAAATACCTATTTACTCAATATTTATGGGACTGCTTGAATTTGCCTGGTTAGTCACAGTTTGCTTTAAGTACCCAGGATTTGCGATTCTTCTCCGTTTCTGTTTTGTTTTATGTTCTCAGCGCTCAAAGCAAAACGGTTCTCGACCGCGTTTTATTTGATTTGGCAGGCCATTATTGAGATGATCGCGACCATCCTAGTTACGATCCTTGAAAGCAAAAAAACAGCTCATAAAAACACCATCAATTCCGTCAGCCGGAAAAATTCACTTAACTAACTCCGCAATTGCGGCGGAAAGTAAATCAAAATGAAATCAATGAATAATACATCGGCTAATCCCGCGGAACGTTAAAACCAAAATCTAAATAATTAATTTTTAATTCGGGATTTTTCGTCTTGATTGAAGTTCGAACGCACAAGAACGTCAAATGTAATTTTCAACGGGGAAAGCTGATTATACGATACTGTAATGTAAATTTTCAACGAAACGGAAATCGGTAAAAAGGATTATAGTTGAGAATTTGTGTCGGAATACATCATTATAAATGGCGCGTGGGAAATGATTTTAAATTTATTCGAACGAAATTTCTATTCGATTTAAAAATAAAACTAAATTATATTTTTTTAACCCTTATTTATCCAATTAACGATTTTAAGTAACTGCTGATATTTTAATGAAGAAATGGTTTTCTACACCAATTTGTGGGACTATTTCTAAGCTTTTCTCTTTAAAGATTTACCTCCGGTTTTATTACATTCTAGCAATCAACAGGCTTTTTTATTAATATTATATTTTAAATGGTGAAATAATATGTTATTAAATATTGATGGAAAAAACCAACTTTAGAATTTCCAGAGCCTTCTGAGTAATATTTATATTTCTGATATTTATATATCCATCGAATATTTCAATTTGCATTCATTTGCTGATGACACTCAGCTATTTTACTCCTTTGATCCTAAATTATTTTGCATAACTTATTTCTATATTCCTCTAGCTACAACCTTCAACTTAATTTCTCCTACTTCCTACTCCAACTTCTTTTCTCCTAAACCTAACATTTAAAAAGGATTCCAAAATGTATTTAACGGTGAATGTTTGAAAATTTGGGTTGATAATTTCAGTTTACGGAAACTTTTACAGTTTACTTGGTTGAACTATGGTAGTTTTCGATTTAAACATTTAAGGGGTTAAGCGGGGTAGCTTTTGCTAGAGTTCGCCTCCTCTCTACTGTATATTTATTTATAACAATATACAACAATAAAGTCAATGTATTAATAAGTAAAGTTTTGAAAAAATAGATTAATTTTGACCTTGAAAAGTAATTGCGGGTCTTCTTAATTTTTTGCAGCGTTTTTATGTTAGCATTTTGGATTAGTTAACTGTTATATATTTCTTTATAGGGAGCAGGGTGTACAGCATTACTAGTAGCGGTAGTATCTAGGAAATTAGAACTCACGAGAGCCGAAAAACATGTTCACAATTTTATGATGGACACACAGTTAACGAAACGGGTAGGTAACAAAATGTATTCCTTTTTTTTTAATGAACTTGCGGCAACGGAAAAATTTATCAAAGCCGATAGGAAGTTCCGAACGGAATTTCATTTGCCGGAAACGCTTTTCTATAGAGAAGCCGAAAATTTAAACGTTTCTCCTGCTTTTAATGGCGGCTTCGAAAACGACACGCGCGCTATTCTAAATGTTTTTATTTATTGAATTTAATGCAGATCAAGATCAAGAATCAAATACTGACACCGCATGTAGCGCTAGACCCGTTCGATTCGTCCCACGCGAGGTTAAGTTTTATTCAACAGTTTGATGGTGTTTCTATGTTTTAGTTAAAAAATGCAGCAGCGAACGTGTTGAGAGAGACGTGGTTAATTTATAAGCATACAAGGCTAGTGAAAAGAGTGAACCCCGGCCGGGTTCGGACTCATCAGAGGAAATTTCTGCTTGCGATTTATGCGTAAGTTTATTTTGCGATAAGTCTCGGGGCATTAAAGTATTTGTTTCAGATTAAGAAAAGTTAAAATGGACCAAAGAAAATTAATGGACAACGCCAATACAATAACGGATATGGCCAAAGTAAGGCTTACGATATGCTCTGTTGTGAAAATTGCCATACGCTTACCTTAATCTATTTTTAATTGGTTGGAATCCGGGCCTTTATAGGAGGTTTATCCCTGATTTGTTAAGGGTTGCCATTGCCCCTTGCTCGATCAAATGTTAACGTTCCCTCCCATTCGAATGCAAAAACGCAGCGTAAAAATAATGCCGTTACGTTGTCCGTAAAATAAATATGGAAATCGATTTCAGATTACGTTTTAATTAATCATGTAGAATAGTTTGTTCCCAACACGTGGCTACGTTTATCAATCATTTCAATAGGAAATTAACAGCCCACGTGCGGGTTTCGAGCTAGTCTACTGTTGACTCGAAATTTGATTCTAACGTTAAGGCCTAATCGCGTTTGATCAAAATGGAAACGTTTGGTAACATTCACAAAGCTTTTTATGGGGTTTCTCCGTAGATTCTTGGTATTTGAACCCAACACAGAAATATAAATTCCTGGAAGTGTAATGTAATGTTAAACCCATGTGGATGAATGTGTGCTGGATATTTTATTTTACGTCTTTAAGATGTCAATTTTATTAGCTGGACGTCCATATTATGTTTAATTTATTTTTGAATGGACATAAGTGATAGTAAAATAATCGAAAATGGCTTATATAAATTAATTGATTTAATTTATTAAAATATCAATGTGAAGATATGAAATATTCAATCTTTTTTGTTAATAATTTCTACAAAAAAATGTTCGAAAAGGTACGGACAATAGACGTATCCTTTTAATATCCAAAGGAGACTGGACGTCGGATAAGACATGAAATTGACTGATTCTCCAAAATAATTTTGGTTTATATTGTGCTACATAGTATTAATGATTTTTAGACACAAAACACCGTTTACGAAATAGTTTCCGATATGAGCACGAGGCAAGACACTCTGGAAGATCGGCTTACTAACGTGGAAGAAAAATTGTCTGCCCTCCAAGAACAGTTAGATCTTCTTCCCGATTTAATTGCCGCACGAATACAAACTCAGGTACGTTACGCTCTTTATATGGCTTGTAGAAGGAATCAAAACCACGCTAGAAGATGCTCACGGAAATACAGTCAACGGGAGCACATTACAATTACCAAAGCGTTTTTCATTGACCTTTTCTATTAAACAAGTATTATTATTATCACGGAAAATCATCAAAATAGTACCAAGTGGCAAATGCTAATGGGAGCACTGTTTTTTGGATCTCTATATGGTAATGCTTATTTAGAACAATTTTTTGGAAATTTTGGCTAATTTTAATACTCTTTCATCTCCATAAAGATTACTTCCATTTTTCATTATTTCATGTTTCAATTTCTACCTACCTTTCGTGGCTACGGTGCTTCATTGATGTAGGAGTAGCTATAATTTGACCGCAAACGCACGAAATCAAAAAAATAATGTAATGTTGAGCCGCAAGATATCTAGAACTGTTTTGACAATAGCGGCAGGGGAGAGCAAAACTGCCATCTTCAGTTTCATCCAACGTGTGCAATAATTTTAATTGTATAGCAAGAAAAATTCTACACACCCTGTAATTAGTGTTATTATTAATAAAGTCTTAATCCTTCCACCCTCTCAAACGTTGGCACTAGTTTCCCTTTAGCAATTAGCACTGGCAACGGCAAGAGCAAATTTGGAATCATCCTTCTCAAAGTGTGAAATAATTTACATTTTATAGCAAGAAAAAATCGAACAGCGACGTAATTTTCTTCACCCAGAATCGGCTGCCGGACTTCAACAAGCAAGAAGCGTCCCCCCCGCTTGCCCCTGGCCCGGTCCTGCTTCTATGTCGCCTCTGGGCAGAGCTGCCACCTCAAGCGCCGCGCAAAGCTAGGATTAAGCGTTTCGTATTTTGAGTAGAACCTCCAAAAATTTTCCTTTTTTCTCGAGGGATGTTTCGGTACTTACTTGGAGCGAAATTTAAATTTGTAGGACAAGTCTAAAGACTGACCAAACGCGATTATTTACCTAGCAAGGCCGAAAACGAAGATGGTGGACACTGGATGCGGGATACCAAGGTAATTTCAAGGACACGTAGCATTAGCATTTTTTCAACTTATGGTTTATACAAACACGAATTGAGGGTCAAAGTTTCGAAACTCGTCTTCCATTGTGAATGCGTCGTTTGTATACATAGTGTTGCTGAAATTCAAGCCAAACGCGCTTACTAAAAATCACGCGGAGCAAAATAACCGAACAATATACCGAGTAAGCTTATTGGATAATTATATTCTGCTTAAAAAAGTTGCTTTTGTTCAAATTTCTCTTTCCCTTTTCCCTCCACTTTTAGCGATTTGAATCTTGATAAACGAATGACTAAAATAAAGATTCATTCTAATTTGACGTTTCTCAAAACTCTCTCGAGCTTTTATTATGGGTCATATTCCATCCTTGCTAGCGGCTCGTTTTTTTAATCAGCAGTAGGAAATTAAAAAGTAGCTCCCTCTCCACGCCCCTTCCTGGTGGATTATCCACCCATTCCCTGTGGGAGAGACAGAGGATAACGACGAAACACAATTCGGCTGTATTTTAACGAATAGATTTTTTTTTAGCCACTGAAAGTAAGTACTCTCACATCCTGCTCTCGAAAAACATTAAGCTTATGTATCCGCGATATAATATATGGGGAGCCGCGAGACACGAATTGTGTTTGACGCCCCGTATACATAGAGACATATCATTTGATTTTAGGCTAAACTGGTGCTGATATAATTCTTAAGTGGATACTGAATACGAATTTATAGAGCCAGATAATGCATGTTCCAATTTTAAGGTAGGCTTAACGGGAGATTTATCATAGGTAATAGTTATTTTATATCGTTAGCGTTTAGATATTGGGCTTGAAAGCTTTAAAACGTTATCGTAGAAGTATATCGTTACTGCGCAAGTGCTGATTTAGTGAATTGGATTTTGTACCGTTTTAAATTATTTTTTGCCTACTAACGAATGATTATTAATAGTTAAGCGTTTTTATATATTTCTCTAGTAGACTATTACTACGCGTAAAGAGGACACATTTTCTAAGTAGGTATGTAAGCTTATTGTTTTTAAAGACGAACTGTATAGAAACCTATAAAACTCATTTTAATTAAAATTTTAGGAAAAATAATCGACAAAGTATGATAATTAAACATTTTTAGAACCTTAATTATTGTATAAAATAAATATACAGTATTAGCCGTAATAATAATAACAAATTTAAAAAAACTGTTTAATTCAAGTAGCATATAGTGTTTAACGAATTAACAAAAATATTCATAATTCTAAACGGATTAATACTATAATCATATAACAAACCCATCACCATTGACAAAACAAACTATCGTCCTGTGGACACACCATATACCATATACATATTTTTAGTGTATGTATAGCTATCTCCATCTAATCCTAGGAATAATGAGAGGCAAATTTGAAAATTTACGTACCGCCTCCTTAATAGTCACTGTTTGAACTAATAAATAATCAAAAAGTAACATAAGATTCTACACAAAACTGCAACATTGGGACATATTCAAGTGCCAATATAAGTAAGTAACGTAACAATAATAATTAACCTTTACCCTAGGAAATGAATTATGTGCCATTCTGTGCCAGATATAAAGACGCCACAATGTAGTTTTGTACAAAAGTCGGAATGGATGCAAAAATATTTTTAATACTTACTTACCAGATATAATGTGCGAATTCATATTACTTTATAGGGGTTGTTTTGAAACATCACAAAACGAACGCAATCAAAATAATAAGAAACATGCAATCCACCTCACGAAGCAAGACAAAACAATCTCTATACCGTCTAATTTGTTTTATATGATTATAGTATTTCTACATAATCAACGACAAGGGCACTAGCATAATAATACACGATATTATTAACATCATATAAGACAATTCATGCTTTTGTTGTTTAACAACGTTATGTATTCGCTAAAGATGGAATGGCATAATTACCTCAATGGGTTGCTAAACTTGGTTAATTAGGAATATGTAATTTTATTATCTCAAGATTTCCCCTTTGGAACCGGGGGCGTGGAACATACGAACCAACTAGGTATCACGTATTTTATGTAACTTACAAACGCCATTTCATGTTTAACATTGCTTTATTTGACATTCCAAATCGAATACGTTTTTTTTTTTAAATAACGCCGATATGGATGAACGAAATTAATTTCAACCGACACTTTTACCAAATCTGTGTCTACCGTTTCAGCAACTAAAATTCAACGAGAAATAAAAAATACACGAGCATTGTACGTTCTGCTTTTATAAGTTGTCGTTCCCAAGGCATTGGCACAACGTTTTTGGATAAATTAGCATTACAATATAGTGAACTGTTTTTCGAAAAAAAGTGTAGCGTATAGTCTATTTTTTTTTGTCTATAGTCCTCTAAAATATAAAGTTTAAATGAATCCCCTTAAAGAACATCCTTTCAAGGAGTTATTTATAACCATATGGTACTTCCAAAAGAAATGTCAGGTTTAACGCAATATGCAAACTTGACACTCCATTATTGCCCAGTGTTTTATTTTACACCAGCTATAGACTTGTGCTTAATGATAGAAAATGGACATTGATTTGTAAATATGATTAGTTTGCGATCCAGTTTCCGAAGTAAAACACTGGTTCAACTTAGTAAGAATAAAATCGGTGGTTATATACTGGTGTGATATAGTGTACGGTGCACCTTAAAGCATTAAAAATATTTCAGAGGTCCAAATTGTTAGAGTTTTTCTGCAATTTCACAAGTTTTATAAACATATATTATATAGTTTAATATATACCTAAATATACAAAACATAAAATATATTATATCTGCATAGTTAGCCTGTTTTGAATTCCTTAGTGTTGTTATATATTTTCGAAAAAAAAATGCAGTTACATGTTATCCTACTCAACGAATAAACTACTAGTTTCATAGATACGATGTGTTTTGTTTTTTAATTTTTCATCACACTGTTTTTTCGACCGCTAAATTAAAATTATAAATATAAATGCCGCACTGATAATTAAAAAGTATGAAATGGACGAGCAGTCTCCCGAAGACATCATTTGTTTTCTGCGATGAGCTTGAAGCATTTTGGCAGCTATATCGCCGGGTGGCTCTAAGCATTCAAATTCACAACATCTCTCGCGTACTCGAAATTTTTTGCAAAACTAAAAATAGACAATCTCTAGCTAACACCCCAGAAACAGAAACACTGATATTTTTTTGGACATTTTTATTCCTTAACTTTGATTGAAATTTATTTAATGCAATCAAGGAGACACTTTACGAAAAACAACATTTTAAATGGATGAGTAATGGTATTTTTGGATTTTACTTTATTTTTTTAAAAAATTAGGCCAAATTTAATTATTATATAATAGTAAAAATTTATAATTTACATATGGGTATACAAAAACTGTACCCATCAAAATATTTCATATTTCGCGAGCTTAATGCATTGTTATTTCAGCAACCTTAATGTAATAGAAATAAAAATTAACAGAATACATTCATAGCGACCCACACCCACATGAAGATGTGAGGTCGAAAATTCTTAATAACTTTTAACAAAAGCAAAATTTTGGTTTTGTTTTTTTACAAATTTTACCGAATAATGTAATAATAATATATAAAAAAATCGGTCCCAAAATCAGATACTTACGTACGGTGGATCGCAATATATAGCACTGCACCACATGGGCTCGCTGTGATAACATACGCACATGGTACAGACGGCCGGACCTGGGACATATAGTATCCCATGCTCTATAGTTTTACCTTGGAAATCCGTACAGTTTTCTTCTAACTGCGCTGAAAATTGCGTCGAAAATATCTCATATCCAAAAGTGGCATTAGTAATTTACTTTTGCCATTGTTTTTACCTGAGAAACGAAGTGAACCAGCAATCAAAATTATAAATAAAAAATTGCACATTGTTGTTAGGTGAGCGAACAACCAAATGTATTTTGCATCGACGTCGCTAGACAATGAGAAGATAATTTGCGATGGGGGAGCGTGAAATTGATAATATAAGTGTTAATTTTGTATTTAGTTGGCAATTGTCGCACGTGCAAAATAAAAGTAAGTGAAGCGCGTTATAAGAACAATAGGTTTTTAAAAGATTAGTTTATTTTATTACCTAAAATTTAATAATAATTTTTTAATATACAGCTATTTTAAATGTAGTATAAATTTAGCATTTATCATTTAGCCCTGCGTAATATATCAACCGTCTGAAGGTGCTTAGTTGTGAGTTATCCTGTAATATATAAGTCTTTTCACTTTTTTTCTACTTGATATATTTAATTTTTTGGGCGACTGGCCTTCCTTCGTTTAGCCGATGGAAAAGAATAGCTTGACGTTGTATGACATAGTATCATTTTGAACAACGCAGATGACCTTTTCATTGTCAATGGATTGGATTTTTGGGTTAAGACGTTATTCAAAACGCATCATAACGTTAGGAAATGTTCCGTTTACCACTTTCTTCACTGGGAATAATATCTCTGATAAAACAACGGCCGATACTGATAATAAGAACGAAAGGCCGAAGAACATTTTCAGAAATTGCACCTACTTTTCTTGGAACTCGGCTATATTCCAACGGCAAGTTGTTTAGGTTATGTTTTGAAAGTTGTTCCTATATTTAATAACAAATATTCCAGACTTCAAAAGTAACACACCATTAGGAAGTATATTAATTAATACTAAAGATCAAGTGGATGCAAATAAAGAAAAAGTAGTCGATGATGAGGAAACTAAAAAGCAAAGAGAAAGGTCATGGAGAACCATGAAAATTACATTATGGGTTTTTGGTATCTCGTTTACATGCATCGGAACATACTGCATTATTAGCTTTGGTGCCCCTCAAAAAGATTCAAATGGTATTCCAATACGCGATGAATTTTCAGATAAACCAATCCTCAAAGCCTATTTAATGAGGACATTTAAAGAATTGGAATATTATCGTAGGGTACGTCATGTGCTAAAAGATATTATTATCTGTGTCGTAAATCCATTGGCGTTAGTTTTATGTCCTGTTTGATGAATTAGTTTTGGAGGTACATCAGCAATATTCAGAGTTAAATAGGTATTGTAACTACATTCATATGTACGGGAATACAAAATCAAACTTTAAAGAATGTCGAACTGTCATAATTTAAATCTTTTATACTTTTCGCCTATATTTTAGCTAATTAAAGAACCATCACGGGACAAATTATTACCAGACCCTGTGCAGTATCCATACATTCAGCCAAAGTATACTTTGGTGCTTGAATTGACAGACGTTTTAGTACATCCAGATTGGACTTATAATACCGGATGGCGTTTTAAAAAGAGACCTCGTAGGATCTTTGAAATGCAACATGAAAAAGCCAAGGCTAAATTTAATGTTTTTAGATTTGGATTACTTCTTAGAGTCTTTAAAAGATCAATTTGAGATAGTTATTTACACTGCTGAACAAGGAATGACTGTTTTCCCTTTAATTGAAGCCATTGATCCTAAAAATCTTATAGCATACAAATTAGTGAGGGATGCAACACATTTTACAGGAGGCCATCATGTGAAAAGTTTAAATAATTTGAATAGAGACTTAAGCAAAGTGATATGCATTGATTGGAATGAAAATAATCTTCAATTCAATAAGGAAAATTTATTTCATATAAAACGTTGGATCGGCAATGATGATGATGCTATCCTCATGGATTTAGTAAACTTTTTAAAAAGTGAGTTATTTACAGTTTCGTAATTGTTTCTGCCTAGAATACAAACAAAAATGGATTGTGATTGATGTCTTTTATTTGTAGCTATTGCCATGAATGACATTGAAGATGTTAGAGAAGTGTTAAAAGTTTATAGTACATTCGATGATCCTATAGAAGCCTTTAGGGAAAAGCAAAAGCGATTCGCATATGAAATAGCTGCTCAGGAGGAGGCCAAGAAAGAACAGGAAAAGAGTAGAGTGTCCCGATGGTCTCCCACGTTTTTAAAAAGATCTTTTTAATATAACGGGTTAGATAATTAAGGAAAACATTATTCATTGATTTGTAACATTTTTATTGTGTAATTTACATTTTACATTTACGTTGTTGATTTAATAAATTGCAATTTTTATAATACATATATTTCAAAAGAAAAAAGAGCATTTTTTACAATAGGAAAATATTGATTTTTACCCTGAAGTGTGCTGAACTATTTTGTTTTCCTTAGAACTAAATCAAACGCTTGTTATAAAACAAATAACTCACAAAAACTACTTACGCTAGGTTAAAATACATTGAGAAGAGGATTTAAAAACAACATTCTTGATACTGATTAACTTTTAATTTTATATTTGATATCTGTTCTCCTCACGCCCAGTCATATAGTCAAAATACCATTTTGCTTTGTTCCGTTTTGCATCTCTATAAGTTGCTCTGTCAAAATACCAATTGGCTGTGTTATCATTTTTTCTGAACTGAGATCTGGCTAAGTTTAAGTTGACATACCACTGACCATTTACAGTTTTGTTACTATTTTCTGTTAAAATAAAGCGTTGATCTTCATTTTTTGATATATTTATGAGTTCAACAGTATCTTGAACTGGATTAAATTTTATGTACCATTCGTTTGGCATAGAGTTGAAATTGTATTTGCCATCTTTACTTTGTTTGTTTTTCATATGGATTTTGGGTTTTTCTATAAAATTTGACTTGACAGTTTTAACATTTTGAAGCATATATTTGTATGGGTTTTTTCCTTTTTCAGCATCTGAAAATGTGGCTTTCTTAATTTTGGTATTCTTTTCCTTAAACATTTTTTTTTCAGTTTGAACCATTTTTCTAAAATTTTCTGCACTGTTTTCTTTTATAATCTTTGTATTGGTTCCCTCAAATCTATTTGTTTCACATTTCTTATTCTTTTTCTCAAATTTGTTATACTTCTCCCGGTTATATCTGCTCTTTTCTTTGGCTTTATCATACTTCCTTTTCTCGCTGTTTTTCATAAATTTATCGCTACCCTTATCACATGAAAACGAATTTTGATGGGGTTTTTCTTTCTTATTTTCTTGATATGTTCTTTTTCCTTTTGATTTGTCAGTGTCCTCAAAGTTTTTTTGTTTTATCAAATTTTCAAACTGCCTATTTTGTACCATATCAAACCATTTCTCTTTAAGCTGCAAATATTGCTCTTCATCTTTCCATATATCAGTTTTATGAATTTTCCTTATTCTCTTCTCGACACACTTATCAACTTTAGTGCTTCTTTTATTAAAAGTACTTGCTATGTGCTTTTGAATGCAAAAACCAAGAGCTTCTTCAATAAGGTAATTTTTACCAGGTGATTCAAAATTTTCTGCATCTAAATGATACTGTTTTGAATCTGTTAAATACTGTCTAATTATAATAGAAGCCAATAAAATAATCACCCCTACTAGTATACCATTGTTATTAATATTTATTGTTAGCTTTAATGGCAAATTTAGAGGATTATTTTCCTGTTCAGCACCCGTTATATGAGTCTGGATTATAGAGACGGGTAAATTATTCATTTCACTATTTTGAACTGTGCTGTCAAATCTTCGTTTTTGAGATGAATTAACATCAGTTTCAGCATCCAGGCGTGATTTGGTATCTACAGAAGAAGATTCCATAGCCGTGTCAGATAAACTCTCGCAACTGTCAGAGTCACAAGTTGAAGAAGCACTGGGCACCTATAAAAATGTAAAAATTAACTAAGAAAACTTATTTTTTTGTTAATCATACCTGTATCTTAGCCACTCCACTGCTATTCAATTCTGTGTCCTCTTCAACATATGCAGGATGTAGTTCTTTGTTGATAGGGCTGACCTTACTTTGATCAATTATGGTTAATTCTTGAGGTTCGTCATCTACCTTGCTTTGAAAATCGTCGTCTTCAGAATAACTTTCCGCAGGTATTTCACTTATGATACTGATACTACCATCAGAATCTAGGTCTGAATCTGAGCCATTCTGGTTCAATAAAATCGCTTCTTCTGCTGTTTCTACAACTACCCAATTGGAAGTGTCAATTTCACCATTGGAGTCCTCCATTATTCTGAAAAATTAATGAATAATTTATAACAACCGTTAGGACTCGTATCTCGGGGTTCTAAAGTGAAAGGAATATTAAAATACCAGTTTAGGGCCAAAATTGTTAAATAGTTTTCCTTTAATTATAACTGCGCACCTAGACTACAATGACACCACGTGCATTCTTTGTTTTGTAATTCAGCTGTTTGCGTATATTTTTCGTCAGTCTCAAACTTCAAGCACGAATTTGCGTAGTATTTCGAATTTCGCAAATCAAATAACAAAAACACAACCCATAGAATAAAAATGAATGTCATTCTTGCAACGAATACTAGTTGGTCAATAACAATAAAAACCGATCTTTGGTATAACTCAGATGTGACATCTATCCACTAGAAATCTAATTGACCTCATTTAACCATAACGCGCTCCATTTCTATTGCAGACCTATATAAGCCAGTTTCCAATGGAGGGTGCTTGTGTCCTCAGTACCGAGATTTTCGAATCTAAATTAGCTACTTGACGCTAGACGACACCACCTTCTTGGTTTACTGTTACAAATTATCAGATTAAAAAACAGATGATTCCATTGGATTTTAATAAACGCCTACTTTCCTTTTGATGGACTTCTGACGGCTTGAAAAGTTTAAAGACGTAGGCAAAATAGACTAAGTAAATACTATGTTTTTAAAGATGTTAATTAAGAAAGATTCCTTAGAGCCGTAAACTGAGTCCGTAAGCTTTGAGGACGATATGATTTTTTTTATGTCATTGCGAGTTCGTTAAACAATAAGATTTATAATTTTAAATCAACACATTAATAACGTCATCGGTTACGCAAGATTTAAATTTAACTTTTTTTTTCTATTAAACAAAAGATTATATGTCCCTTAGAATGGAATTATCTTTTTTGTTATAGATATATGCCCGGGTTTGTTGCTCAAATTGATTGAACGGGGTCAACTCAAAGGTAGTGTTTGTCGAGACCTTTGGGGTAAGTTTTGATTATGGCTCATTTTTTTACACGTATGCCGTGTGCTTTCCAATATTCTGTAATATACAGGTATAATAATAAATTATATGCTTTGTGTGTCTTGCATAGCAAAAAAACATAATTGTAAAAGAAACAACGAATAAAAAGAAAGGGCATCGAGAAATTTATTTGATTTTAGGTGCATTGGTCCAACTGTGTCCGTAACGCTTTCCATGCATGGACCAAATGAACTCTGGGGCCATTATCGTTGTGGAATAGATCACCGGCTGTCAGGTGAGCGGCATTTCGTAGGTTTACCTGGTCGGTCGGCAAACGGCGCTAAGAATAGCCACGCCCCTCCCATCACAGCTTCAGACTATCCGGGACAGCTTATACCGTGTCTCAAAAATATTTCTAACAATTATTGTTCCCCAAAAACTAATTTTTATAAATTATAAAACAATAATAATTATAACAGATTATCATCATAAGTATCTAAGATCTGTATATCTGATTTATTTTAATGAGAACACTACTGGATTATTTATTATTAAAACTCTTCTGGGCTTTCGTCCAAATCGTTTCTCATTTATTATAATTTAAATAGTTTTTTTTAATCGACCAAATACAAACATCTAATTAATCGTTTTGTGTGTCGGGCTAATAGTAACAGGGAGAAGATTGTTATAGTATGGCAGTATTTTTATTTGTTTTTTTTTATGTTGAAAAATTATACTTGTACGAATTTTTTGTCTAATATTTGCTGTTCTTATCGAAAAATGGAAAACCCAGTCCGTTTGTTTTTATTTTTTACTCAAATTCGACATATTTTTTAGATTAAAGAGAACTCAGTCGTGTCGGTTGTCCTTTCTTAATAAACAACCTTCAAACTAAGTAAAAAAGCAATGATTTTTTCACCATCCAAAAAACCAGATGTGAATTTTCAAGATTTTTTTGACGTACATTTTTCCCGCTTTTTAGATTTCTCTTTTTGAATAACAGTTATACATTTTTTTGTGGATTTTTTGGTTGATCCTGGCATAAATTATTCCCAAATATCCAGTTGTAACGTCATCGAAAGTGTGAGATTCTTATTACATTTATTAAAAATAAAAAAAAATGCTTGACCCAATGGTAGCATTTTTATGCTTTAGATAAGGCCATATTACGTCCGAACACAGTTATTATTTTAACCAAGTCTCCATTTTTAATATATTTTAGGACGCGGTTTTATCGAATCAAGTCGTTTCAAAATCTTATTTTCGCATATTGAATTCGAAGCATCGTAAAAATTATAAAAATTATATGTCAGAATAGGTTTGGGCTTAAAAATATGCGCATATGTTTACCAATCGTATACTATAATACAATTATAAAGGAATCCGTCGATGCTTGCAGATATGTCATTTAAATGATAGGTCGTTATCATTTCTGCATCGATCGTCTGAAAATTATGCCACAAATCTTTTAAAAATTTTTGAAGAACGGTAATTACAGGTCACAAAACAGCGATTCGAATATTATTTGACAGCCCATAAACGTAGTAATAATATTCTTGTGAGCGCCACGTTTGACATTGGGGTTGAGTTATAGTCGTTTCTAGACGTCCTAATGAGGGACCTATTGGCGGTTACCTTTTGTTTTGTGCTCGGACTAACTCGTTTTCGAGACACATATGCTTTTAAAACACCTTTACAGTTTATACGCTTATTGTAAACAGCTTTTAATTGGCTCTCGGTAATTACGGCGGTCGAACTCTGATCTCGTACGCATTCGTATAATAAGTTAACGCCCTTTTGTTAGTAATGCGATTTCCAGCGAAAGGAAATGTTCGTTTGTTATACTAAACTGGTGGACAAGAGATTGGAATACTTCAGATTGGTAAGATAAATTGGAAATCATCGTATTCTAAAATAGTTGACATAACTAACCTAGTGTTGGTGGAAGAAAGTTTTCGGCTATTTCCTGGCATTGATAAACATTTTTTATTGTCATTAAAAGAGGTATAGACAGATTGTTAACTAAATTCGTTACACAGAATCAAATTGGAATAAAAAATTGGTGAAGCTGATCTGTGGGCCCATTCGAATACTTATAACCTGGTTAGTTTTGGTTAGTTTGTTACACTAAATTTTTGGCAACAAAATAAATTAGAAAACATGGTCTTCTAAAATAATTGACATTACTAACCTAGTTTCGGCTATTTCTTGGCATTGATAAACATTTTTTATTGTCATTAAAAGAGGTGTAGATAGAGTGTTAACTAAATTCGTTACACGAAATCAAAGTAGAATAAAAAAATGGTGAGGCTGCTCTATGGGCCCATTCGAATACTTATTACCTGGTTGTGATTAAAATGACAACCCTTTTTAAAAAGGCGAACTTTTAAATATTGATTGAAATATTCTTGAATATTATAATTATAATAATTATAATTTTTTGCGAACAATATTCACCGGGTTTTAGGACAGACAGATTTTCGGTACGATTGCAGTGTTTGTGTTTCGTTTAATCGGACTGTAAAATGAATAAAAACTCTCCAAGGAATTTTCAAAAATGTTTGTTTTGCACACCCCATTAAGTTATTTGTTTTCACCATTTTGTTTTCAAAGTTGCTTCTGCATTGAGAACTAGTGCAAAATGTGTATTTCAAACTACAGTGTGATTCATTTGTAATTCTGAGCTCAAAATATCAAGATTTAACCCACATCACGTACAAGAAATGTGGTTCCTGCTAAATAAATATTTCTGGCTACATCCAGAGGTGTACGACAAGGACAACCTGTGCTTTTTGCGCATTTAAAAAAAATGTGGTTCTCAGAAAAATGATTTTGTTACCAGTCAAAAAGAAAGAGTAATTTTAATATTAACAAGTACATGCTTTTATGTAGCTGATGTGGATTCAGTGTTAATAGTTTGAGTTCAGATTTATATTATATACTTTAAATATTTCCAATTATGTATCAGCAATCGCGGTGACATGTTTGTTTTAATGTCAGAAAAATGAAATTTGTCATAGATTAATATATAGAGTATTATAAAAAAAAAAGTCAGTGTTCTATGACCAACAGGTTTGTGCGATTAGTTTTCAAAGCACCAGTGTCGTCAAATATTCGGCTTCCCCTTAGTTTTATTATTTAAACATTACCTAACGTTCATGGCAATTAATTTGTCAGTTTAAATTATGTTTTACTACTTTTCTATTTTATTGTATGGTTTAGTTTGCTTGTACAACATTCCGCATTGACTATAGTCCAAGTCAGACTGAGAATATAGTGTGGGCAACATAGCCATTGCATTTCATATGGGAGAAACTGCACAGCGTAGCTGTGAATCGTAAAAGAGTCCCAATTTCAGCTCAAAAGGTACCTGTGTGTCATGCAGATGGGTTATATAATTATAAATACATATAAATAAAAATAAAATGGATTACTCATTACATCAAATATGCGAATGCGAAAATTGTGATTTTTAATATCGTTTGCTATTGCAAGAAAAAAGAGGGCAATATGATGGTAGTTTTAAAAGTTTACTTAAACATATTGTGCGTAAGGATTCATTTTTCAAGAATATTCCACCAATTTTTGTTGCAAGTTAAAAAAGTTATTCAAGGGGATAAGGATTTGGCAATTTTTGCTTTAAGTACCTTAAGGACTATTTTTAAATATCCAAAACATCCCAAATGCCTAATACGTTATTGGAATAAACTGGCCTCTAATTAAAAAAAAATGTTTCATCCAGTCGAAATTTACTGAAGAAATAAGGTCATTTATAGGTCAAGTGTTTAAAATATTCTGCTTTTGACAGTTCTATTTTTATATTTTTTAAAAATATTTTTACGTTTTCATATTATAATTTAAAAAGCTATGTGCAGTGAAATTAAAGCATTTTAGCCGCGCATTTTGATACTGCAAAAGGTGTGCGTTATTAGCTAAAAATGTATGGGGCAAAGCCAATCGGTGTCAGCTTGTTAAAATTTAAATATTTTGTCGAAATTGATGATGATGAGCGGCCAACTGCAGTTCTAATGTCTGTCATCCATCATTACTTTAAATTTATAATTTATTTTGGTTTGCCTACGTCGTAACAATATAAAAGTTAATAATAGGTCTGGGTTATAAGGACATTTTACACGCTAAAAAAATTAATATAATGCCCGGTCAGACTATGAACAGCCGCTTAATAACCGTAACGTCGTGCCCGTGGCTATAAGGCAACACGCGATTTAAGTTGAAATTTTGGAAAATTATAGGTTAATAATGGTTAAAACATATTGATGATAGCAACCCCCT